TAACTGTAATCTAGCTCAGGACCATCGGCAGTTCTAAGATAAGCAGTCAGTGTCTGGTTGCCTTTCTAGCAATAGTTTTAAAAATTTTGAGCAAAAGAGCTTCTGCTTCTTCTTTCTCCACAAAGCAAAAGTCAGCAGAAAATGGGCCCTGTTGCTAAATTGTAACAAAGTATGGCTCAGAAAGTTTTAGGTTCTCATCAACATTTTATTAAAAAGTTTCGATGTTTTTATACTCCTGCCCTTATTTACCATTTCAGTTTTAACTATTCCTGAGTCCTCCATTCAAGATAACTTTGTCTGCTGGCTGGAATTATCTATGCTTTCTCTTTTTCATTAATTCTTTTATGGTGGGAAATACACATTGCATAAAGTCTACTATTTTTGCCATTTTTACTTATACAATATAGTGGCATTAAGTTCATTAAGTACATCACATTGTTATGCAACTACCATCATTATTCATTTATAGAGCCTTTTCGTTATTCCCAACAGAATGATGTAATTGGACTTGGTAACAACTGAACTTGAATTGTATATAAAATTGTACTCATAAGCGCTATCCCTTCCACTTCGTTACTGAAATTATAAATTACATCTTTATTCATTGTGTATCCACTGCCTTTCACTTTAACTTCTTTGTGTGAAAATTTTGTTATTCTTTAGGCATGGACAGCCAGTGCCAGCTGCACCATACTTGCCTGTCTTCATCATTTCACAGGGATGATTTTTCTTAAGAATGAATGAACTAGTCCATGAACTAGTAAAGTGCTTATCACATAACACCTATCATGTAGTAACTGCTTAATGAATCTTGGTTTCTGTGATGATAAAGAGGAAGACAGGATATGGCAGTGATAGTAGTTTCTTACTAGTTCCAAATAAAAGTATCCTAAAAGATTTTGACTGCTTTTGGTTTAGTATGGGCTTATTCTTGAATTAATACCTGTAATTGTGAGGGAGAATACTAAAGCTGGTTAACTTTCAGTCAAGAGCCAATCCTTTGCCAATCATTGATCCAAGAGGTAGAGTCTGTGAAAAGATGACATCTTTTATTTTAACATTTGCATATAGGAGAAAGGTAATAGTTGAGGGAGAAGTGAGTAACAGATTCTTAAAAGAATTGTTGGGTCTGAAGGGAAGTCAGCCAGAACAAATAAGCTGTTACTGTGGTGACCCTGTGATGGAGCAAGCCAGTGTTTGATTCCTGAAGTTCTGTGTAAATCTTACAATTTAAAAACCATCTAAAGAGCTTCTAAATGTAGAGAGTAGTTAGGTTATTTTGAATATTTAGATAAGACTTTTGGGTAGAGGTCTTGGTGATTAAGTGAATTCTGTAACTTTTAGATTGTTTCTCAAGTTTTAAACCCGTAATTCCTTTTAATAAATTAAAAAACTCATCGTCATTTAAAATTTTAAGCTATGCTAATGTTATGAGTAAAAAGCAACCAAAGCATAATAACTTTATTCCTAACTATGATGTATATATTTGCCTTGCAAATCTTAAGATGGTAGACATACTAGCTAGCATTTGCATATGAAAACTAAGGCTGAGGCTCTGAAAGTTTTATGACCTAATCAGAAAAACTAGTGGCAGAACCAAATTAGAATCCAGGTCTCCAGTTTTAGTAACATGTTCATGCTTTCCATAACCCAGAAAACTTAACTGAAAACTACATGAGAGTAGCACACTTAATTTATTATTAAGTCAGACTACTTAATAATAAGAGCATCTTTAGGGTTAAATATGTACAAAAGAATAAGACTCAGAGTTGAAAAATACACCTTTGTTCTTTTCACAAGTTTCTAGTTTTTTTATTTTTTTGTTTGCAAATAGTGATGGTTTGTATTCAGAAAAAGATGCATCAAACTGTGTATTAAGGAACAACTTTCAAGGCAACTTCTATTTTTTTGGACAGTGTTGGTATCATATAAAAAGGAAGACAAGTAGTGCAGTAACTTCTCTCCAAAAACAGCCTAGAAAAGGAGACATGAATTACATGAACTCAAACGTCCCTGAACCCTGAGTGTTCTTGTGTATAAGTTTTGAGTACTTCATAGTAGGTTTGTATAGTTACCAACTTTAGTTTTTGAAAGCTGACCTTGAGCTTCGTATTCCTTGTTGGTTGAGATAAGAGGTTCCATGAAATCGGACCAGCCAGCTTTAGGAATATTAAGGAACTCTATGCCTGGCCTTCATGAATTCGGTATTTGTGACTTTCTTTGGTTATGCCAAATCCTGAGACAAGAAAAATAATCTAAATTAGAGGTGTATAGAGTCTTTTCTTTTTCACTTTGTGTAAGTTGCTAAGATAAAGGTATTTTTTCTTATCAACATGAGTTGTGTTTTGGGCAAAATAATTATTACCCACCTATTTTTGAAATATGTCTTATCCACATATTGTTGGTGGAGGAAACTGCATCTAAATGTTATGTAGTACTAAACCTTTAAAATAATTGTTTTAAAATTACTAATGTTAAAAAAATGCTTTGTATTAGTTATGCATCCGTTGCATTTAGGACAATATGTATATCATTTGAAAGAAGAGAATGTAAGAAATATAGTCAAACATCCCTAGTACACCTAGATATATATTTATTTTTTGTTGTCTGAAATAAGAGGGAGAACTAAAGAGCTTGAGTCTTTAGAATACCACAGAATAACAATTTAGAATCTCTGAAATTATTGTCAGGATTCATGAGAAAATTATTTAATTTTCATTCAGATTTATAAGACAGATTGTCAAATACAATATTTTATAGACAATAACATAATTTTATTATTTAAAATTTTTTTCTATTTAGTAATATATGTTATACTACTTGATATTGAAAATAAAAAAATTATTAGTAAGACCAAAAGTTTATTACATAAAAGTGCTTTGAAAGTAAAGTGATCTCCGTCCTAAGAGAAATTAATGCCTAAAGATTCTCATGTTTAACTTAATTAGGTATGGTCTTCAGTATATGTTTGGAGACATTACCACCACTCCTTATCCCTCCCATACCCAAAATTATGAAGAGAAATTTATACTTTGTAAGTTTCTACCATTTTACCCAAACACAGGCTGTGACTGCTGATTATAGTTGAGTCCTTTGTAATCTGTTTTCCTTTTTCACTAAGTGAGACTCCTATTTTTTTTCCCCTTTCCCATGTGTCTGTCCCGGCTACTTGAAAAGCCAGGTTTTCCTGTATGTACACTTGATTCTCTGAGCAGACCCTGTTAGTAATAGCACTTAACAGCAGAACAGAAAGGATTGAATAGAAACACGCACATTTAGTATGTGCAATGCTGATCTAGGATTTCTTGTAATGTTTTCTGTTTTTGTTATTATCTACTATCAGAAAGAAGGAGCTGGCCTTGTGTGGAATGTCTCTAAAGATTTGGAGTTGAGGGAGGAGGTTGGTTTTTCATGTCACTTATCTGTGACATGCTGCAGCAGGACTGCAAACACTCTTCTGCTCACATAAGGAGGAAAAAATTCTAAGATTGAGCTTGCATAATTTGGGTGTATGTTTAGATTTTTATTCCTCTGTTTTCCTATTTTTTGATTATACTTGATTTTATAAGGGTTAGAAGTAGGGGGTGACCTTTGCATAAAAAAGTAGTGTGAGGTATGGAAGGAACAGACTGTAACAATGATTCACATGGTAAAGGACTGTTTAAAATCTCCAATCATTGCGACCCACATTGCAATCCATCTGACAAACAAGCTTGTTGGCCTTCTCAAGTATTAAAATTAACACTAGACAAATAGCTTTATCCTTATGCTTTCCCTCCAATACAGATCTTAGGGAAATTATGCCTACATATCCAAAACTATTGATAGTTGTCTACATTTAAAAATCTCATCTCAAATAGGTGAGAGCTATACATATGTTATGCAATTGTCCCTGAAGTGTCTCCACTGGTATAATTTTCTCTTTTTCTTTTATGTTATAGCTTAATAGAGCCTAAGCTTATGTTTGAGTTATGACTGGGATGAAATTGAAGTCTAGTCATGAGCTTTAAGGAATACCTCTGCACTACTACTGTGGAGGACTTCTTGAATGCCATCCTCCCTTCTTTGATGTTTTACATTGTCCTGCACCCCAACAATGTGCTACTGCAGAGTTCTATGACTTTTCCTCATTAATAGAAAAGAACATGAAGAGAGGAGTGAGAGTATCTGTGTGTGTGCATGTTCATGAGTGTGTGTTTTTTCAGTACACATTAAATTTATCACATCAAAGGAATAGCTTTATTTTATAATTCTGAATATAAGGTTGCTTAGGATTGACTCATTAGAACATCAGCTCAGATGAAAAGCATATAAGAATTTAGATAATGATATTTAAAGTAAAAGTGATTATGTTTGATCTGAAAAGTAGAAAGATAAAATGTTCAATTTTTTAAATTTTAGTGTATCTATGTTGTCTTATCATTTTGATTGGTTGAAATTTATAGGTTGCCCTCAAAAGTGTTTTGAGAAGATGTAGTATTAGAGAGTATATGACCTGTTCTACATTTTCTCTCACTCTGAAATTGGTGTGTATCAGTGATTGAAGGGGAAATTAACACTTCAGTAAATGTCTTTTTCCTTATTTGTTGACTTTCTATTAGCCATTTTCATTTGACTTGACAATGGTACTTAAGGGTTAAGCTCACAGAGCTGATGCAACTCCTCCTCTTTCTCACAACCAATTTTTATTGGACATTATTTCCATAGCAACAGTGAGATCAGTGAAACCTGAGTATTTCATTGATTATTTCTCTCCTCTTCTTTTTTAATCTATTCTCTTTCACCACATTTTAGTGAGAAAGCAATTTTTTTTTACAAATAGCATATATTGATCTCTATTCCATAAATAATTAAAAGAGGGTAGAAAAATCTGCCCTTCATTTAAAAATTGAATGTTTCACTATGTATTTAAAAAGCGATTCAGGATTAGGAGGATGGATAACCATACCGGCTGTAGCTGATGTTCTCAAATATTCTTGTATTGTTTGCTGGTCTTCTAGGGAAAAGAATAATGTGGAACAGGACCTTAAGGAGAAAGAAGATACTATAAAACAGAGGACAAGCGAGGTTCAGGTATGTGAACTGTAAAATTAAGTATTCCATTTATGATTTAGAAGGATTTATTTTAAATGTATTTTAAGGGCATTTACTATGTGGTGGTTGTGGTATCGATGAATAGGTCAAGGGAATACTTATTATTTTTGTGCTACAAATATTTAGTTTTTGCTAAATGATTGTTTTTCTCTGAATTCTGGCCTGTAAGGTTTATACTGCAATGAGAAAGCAGTATTTTTTCAGTATAAATTCCTAGTTTTCGCAAGTATTTTAAAGGTAATATTTACCTGCATATTACATCACTAAAGGTAAGTTTGGATGAATTACAATGTAAATATTATTACAGCAAGAAAATTAAATGAGTGAGATCATCATCATGATCATGAAAATGCAAATTGCTTTTTCATGGGTGTGAGATTTTGTTAGCTCAGAGACCTAGCTTAAAGGACTGTTTCCCATAATACTGATAGGATGTGAAATGATATGAAACAAATTAAAATAGCATTTTATAAGTTGCTTACTAGATAGGATATCTTAAACTTTGGTATAAAGAGATTTAATTCATTTTCACTAAGCACTGTGTTAAGTAGCTTAATTTTATAAGTAGGAAGGATAAAAATCTCAGTTCCTGATTGGAAACAATACAAAAACAGTTATATCAAACATTGTAAGTACAAAAAATTGAGCAGTGTTGCATTTACAGCAGTAAGCCGTGCATGTGACCATGTCACTGGGGCACTGCTTCCTAAATATTGCTCCAGCACATATAGGAGAAGATGTAGCTGCACCAGTAGCAGATGCCAGTAAGAGCTCATGGATGGACATTTCTTAACATGTTACTTGTATGTTGCATTTCCCACTTGTCCTGATAGCTTTAAATGGACAAGAGCTCTAAATTGTTATATCCATTGTTTTGTTTTGATATAGGATATTCACCAGAAATATTAAGTGCACTCTGCTAGGGATGGGGGATGAATTATTGGGACACCAAACAAGAAGCCAGAGAGACTTCTTTTTGGAAGTTGAATTTTTTAATTGGAAAATTGCATTTATTTTAGTTACTGGAATTTTCCTGTAGGCAGTACAAGAATCAAAAGATATATTTCTTGGGTCATACAATGGGGTGATTACTTCAATTTCATTATTTTATGCAGTTTTTTATTTCTTAAGCTATGCAAAAGAGTTACAGACTTTAAGCAGTTACTGTTGAAAATAATCCAAGGATGGAAGAAAAAATAATGTACAAAAAGTTTTATCAACCTGCTGGAATGTAGTTATTAATCTAATCTTGGACAACTTCTAAATTTAGCCAGTTAGTGTTTCAAAATGCAAGGTCTTTTATGATAGACAATATTGTATCATTTGTGTACCTTACCTGTTGGTTTTTCCCTTCTGCCTCTTTTGAAGATGTAAACTTAAATAGTGGGTTTGGAAAAACACTAAAATGTATATTATTTCTTTCAGACTAAATGAGCTATTCTTCAATATTTATTTATTATAATTATAGAAATTTTGTTGTCAGTTAAAATTGCTTTGTGATATGTTTGTTTTTCTTTATTCACTGTTGATGATAAGGTATAGATTTAACCTTAAATATTGCTAAATTCAGGATATGATTGGCAGAGAAAGTTTGAATTGGTGGATTTTTTTTTTTTTTGCATAGGTGTGATGTTAATAAAAGGTATCTTGAGCAGGGCTAGTTTAGATTAAAGTATAATGGTTGAATATAACTTCATTGGAAAAGAAGATTTGATTAAAACTTTAGTAGATTCATACGCATTCTGCCCCAATTCAGGTATTTCTGTATCATTTAGGATAATAAAGAATAATAAAGATAATTGATATATAGAAGTAACTAAAATTTTTCATTTTAATGATCACTTTCAATTTCCAGAAGCCCAAGAAAACTGAACTAGAAACAGCAATAAATAGATTTCATTACCTATTAGCTCTAACTTACCCACTGGTAATGGGCATGGACTAGGAACAGCATAATAATTAAAATCTCTTAAGTCACTCCAACTCCCAATGTTTATTTTCTAATTTCTCTTGCAGTTTACAAAACTATTAATAAATAACAGAATCAAAAAAATGTGTCCTTCATGCTTTGTTTTTGGCCCTATTTCCTAATGCTAATACAAAAATGCCAAAATGAGAGCATCAGGGCAAAGTGAGGGAATGTTGACCTACAGTGATTTTTTTTCCTGCATAGGTGTGAGTATCTGCCTAGTCCAAACAACTTTTCTAATATTCTTGCTTTTCTCTATAATTATAAAGTCACAGAGTGAATTGTATGAGCTCATATATAAAATACAGAAACCAAACTTTCAAAGTCTCTTTAGATACAACCAAAAGGCTATTTTCTGTTTGTTTTGCACCTATATAAATCGTCCTAATTCAGTTACATTAAAAAATATGCTACATAATTAATTTCTTGTTTCCTGCCTGTATTCCCATGAACTGCCATCTTGAAACCTTCACAATTTTTTTCTTGAGGACCAAACCAACAATTAATTTCAAATTTTATTTCATGAGAGCAATACTATTAACTTATTTCAGATAAGTTCAAGTTATCTGTGGAAATTAAACCCAAGATTGGGCCACTTCCAAGAGGAAAGCTTTAAAGGCCATTTCTGTCCCAATTATCTTTTTGTAAATATAGGGGAAAAGTATGTCCACATTCTTCCCTGTTTTCTAAATGGCCTGCAGTACAATTTTAACAAAATTTTTCTTCTAAGTAGTCAATAAATATTTAGGTATTCTCTCATATACATGCTTTATTAAGTTTTATATAGGTTTGTGATCATAAGTAATTAAATCACACTTCTGTAAAATGGCATAATACTAGACAGAGATGTTTACTCTAAGAATAAAATGAGAATGCAGGTAAAATGCCTCTCAGAGTAATTGGCACCTGGTAAGATTTCAGTAAATAGAGTTCCTTCATCAAGCATACCATCTCTGACATTTCTTCATGTAGGATTCTTGTAGGTAGGACCTTATCAATTTGAAAATACCTCCTTTTTTTGTTTTGCTATTGCTGTTACCTTACCTACCTACCAAAGTAGTTTTCTACATATTTTTTGCTCTGTATATATTTGCATTGGGTGGCCTTCTTTTTCCTTACCTATTTTAAGTAATACTATACAGTCTGCTTTTTACCAGTACCACTGTACCTTAATTTTTCTTCCCAGTACCAGCAATAATCTTAAAGTCAAATCCTTTGATCCTTTCTGTATTGGTTCTGCTCTCTTACACTGTATTTTTCTAGATGCTCTCCTATCTCTCTGAACCTTTGCTTCTCTTACCTTTCCCCAGCATTGACTTACATATGCTCTTCCTCCTCTTTCTTTTTTTCCTTCCTTTTCCATACTCCCTGTAATCTATATGCAGAAGATTCCCAAATATTTACCAAACCCTCAGCTCTTCTGATTGCAGTTCTACATTTCTAAGTAGGCATTTTGATGTTTATCATTTCAAAGTCAGTATGTCTAAAATGAATCTCATCTTGTTAAAATATATTGACGTCAGTTTTGAACTTTCTGTCAGTGTTTTTTCTCTTTATAATTGCCAATCTTTGTCACTTATCATCTGGAATTTTAGTCAGTTCATAAGTACTTACCCCATCCTCTTCTTGCCTTTCTTCCTAAACCAATTTTAATGTTTTGATTCTTGGATGTGAAAATCTTTACTGCTCATCACTGCAAGTTGGGGCAGTGATAATAATAGGGGCAGGGGAGCGGATATCATACTTTCGGGTATATTAGAGATAGAAAAATAGATAAAATACAATCCCATCTCTTGTACTATTTTGTTTTTTAAATTGCTTGTGACTGTGTATCATATACATTCTTTTTCTTATTTGCATACCCTTACAGCTTTTGTTTTCATTGCAGTCTAAAATGTTTGCTACCTCCCTGCTTTTGTGAACTCTCCTTGGGTGTTTAAGTCCAACTCAAATTCCACCACTTCTCTAGCATTTTCTGTCTTCTTAGTCGACATCAGTTTTTCTTGTGTTTGAACTCCTACAACAGTATGTGACCACTTATATGTTATTGTACTAGTTTGGTCTATATGTATATATATCTTGTAGTCTGAATTTGAGCTCCTTAAACTTAGTTTTTCTACTTTGGGAATCTTATGTTTCACTATATTTGGTAGTATTACATGGAAGTAAATTTTTTAAAACTTAAATTTATGCAGACAGAACTGGAGTACAAGCTAGAGGTATGGGGCAGTGTGAAAGTTCACCAGAGACAGAGTGGGGAGCAGAACAGGCAGATCCACAAAGTACAGTGCTGAGAGTAGCAGTGGGTGAGACAGGAGAGGTCTGCCACATTATGTGGATCACCTCGTGGGGGGTCGAACTGGCATTCAAGTGGCTGAAACCAGCTTTTAGTGCTGCGTTCCAACCTGCTGCACCACCAGGGAGGACCTACATGGAAGTAAATTTAAGGAAGTTGTTGACAAACAGAAAGGAATAAACTTCATTTTGCACATGAAGTTAAAAATAGGGAAAGACACATGCAGAAGCCACAGGCGGAAAAGATTGGGAGCACAGTACTTACTTATCATGAAGGGTCAGACTTTGACATATGTTTGTATTACCCTCATGTAAAAAAGCTCCCACCTATTTAAACTTCACCAGTAAAGGTTTGGTAATTTATAGTAATTGTCCAAGTTTTTTTCCCATTTTAATTCATTTAATTTTTTTTTTAGATGAAGAAGGATGACTTATTTTAAGTGAAAATAAAATTAGATACATGAGCTCAACATCCTTTTCCTAGCAATAATTCTTTTAGAACATGCTGGCAAACATATGATTGGGAAATAAAGGCAACTGTTAGTGAGGTTTTCTAACACCCGCCGTATTTTAATAGACACCCTTTCTGCTCTTTGACTTAACATCTTGCTCTACAGATAATACTTTTTTTTTAATATGGAATTCTTCACCAATTTGTGTATCATCCTTGCACATGGGCCATGCCTATCTTCTCTGTATCATTCCAATTTTAGTATATGTGCTGCTGAAGCGAGCATAGTAATACTTTTTTAAATATTAAGAATGGCCCAATAAATTCCACTGAGGACTAGGTCAACAATAATGCATCTCTGTATAGAGGTTTTTTAATATCAATTAAATAATTAGCATTAAATTCACTTTGTTCTCTTTAATAATTCTTCAGATTTAGATATACTGGTATAAGTATATGCCTGTATATATGCCTTGGGTTTCATTTTTATGTAAGTTTATTAATAAATTAGTGTCCACTTTTGTTATTTAAATTTACTCCTTTTTTTAAAAGATTTATTTATTTATGAATATAGAACTGGGGTACAGGCCAGAGGTGCAGGGGCAGTGAGAGGATTTACCAGAGACAGAGTGGGGAGCAGAACCGGCCAACTGATGAAGTACACTGCTGAGGGGAGCAGCGGGTGGGTCAGGAGAGGTCTGCTGTGCCATGTGGGTCACCTCTCTGGCAGGGGATTGAACTCATGCTGAAGTGGCTTTAGCTTCTTAGTGCTGTGCTTTAACCTGCTGTGCCACCAGGAAAGGCCTATTTACACTTTTGTATGAAACACATACAGACACATTCATTGAACTTTTATATTTCATAGACTTAATACTTATTTACTTCTTTAGTTGTACAGCTGACTTAGGTTGATAAAAATGAATTATTTTACTCACATAACTAAGAATTTTTGTGTATTAATTTTTTTTAAGAACTATCCCTATAGCACTTCATGGTGTAAGAAGGGAGGGGTAAGTTTGTTATTTTAAATAACGTATGTGATTTCTGGAGAGCAGGTCATTTTCCTTGCAAAACTTTTTTTTGAAAATAAATCCAAGGTATGAGCTTGGTGTTCCTTCATTCTTGAATAAGGAACTTGAATATGCTTTGCTTTGGTATTTTCTAAAACAAAAATTGTCACTGCTTTACAGTGGTCTGGTTCATTTCATCCTTGCCATTCTCTAACTGCTGCTACCCTCCTTTATTTTGCTTTTGATGGCACAGGCAGACACCGGTAGGCAAGTGGAAAAGGATCATGGAAAATAGAGTAGGACTAGGAAGGGTATCAGCAAATCTCTCCTGTCACTCACTGGGTGGGATAGCATATGATAATGCTGAGGTGCACAGACTCAGGAAAGGATTTTTCCAATGAGCTACCTTAAGATTAAGAAAAAATTACCCTAATTTAGTAGAAGACAGTGTTTGTTAGGACAAATTGCCATGCTGTAGTCCAAAGGGTAGTGGGGAGCAGAGGCTAGAGAGCTATGTGGTACTTAGAAAACTGAGGACTTCACATTTATGATTATAAAGGTAATAGTATGAATTCATGATAATCTTGTAAAATATAAAGGACAAAAAGTAAAATAAGAGCATACCATAATTTCACATGCTAACATTTTGCTATATTTTCTATGAATATACATAAGAATGCTATGTGTTTATTTGTGATGTTACTATAAATGACGTTGTATTAAAATGAGTATTATGTCCTAGACATTTTCTTTTATTCTATGACCCTTTTAGGATAAATTTTATCTTTCTTAATTAGATTTACAATAGAAATAGAGGTGTGAAAACTACACCTAGTTATAAAAATTAGATATCAGAGATGTTAGGTCCAAAATATTTCTTTAGGGTTTGAGAGTGAGTGGGAAGTAAGAACAGAATATTTGAGGCTGGAGATGGGCAACAGATATTTTTTGATTCCCATCGCAAACATTTTTAATTAAAGAGAAGAAGGAGGAAAAGTATTTTTTCAGATTTCTTAAAAAATGCTTTTTTGGGGGGACCTCCTGGTGGTGCAGCAGGTTAAAGCGCATCAGTATGAAGCAATCTGTAGCCACTACTGTACAAGCTCAATCCCTGATCAGGGAGATGATGCACATGGCAAGGCAGACCTCTTCTGTCCCGCCCACTGCTCCCTTCAGTAGTGTACTTCAATCAGTCTGGCTGTTCTGCTCCCCACTCTGTCTCTAATGAATCCCTCCCCCCACATCTTTGGCCTATACCCCAGCTCTTGGATGCATAAATAAATAAATCTTTTTAAAAAATGCTTTTTGGGCCAATGCAACATTATATAAAAACTGTATAATGAGGGCCCTCCCTGGTGGTGCAGCAGGTTTAAGCACAGCATTAAGAAGCTAAAGCCACTTCCTCATGAGCTGGATCCCTCATATAGTAAACACCATTGAATTCTGTGTCTTAAAAGGTTGAATTATGTGGTATATGAATTACCTCCCCATAAAGTTGTTACAGAAAGTTATTAAAATTATATGCTTGGGGGAAGAATTTTCTAGGAGGAGAGAATAGTCAGATCCTGACACTGGAGCAGAGCTGGCGTGTTTGAGGAACAACAGTGAGGTCAATGTGGCTGAAATAGAGCAAGTAAGAGGAGAGGTAGGAAATGAAGTTGAAAGATGGAATCATGGAGGGTCATTGTTAGGACTTCAGTTTTTCCAGTGAGAGAGATGGGGAGTCAGAGCAGTGTTCTGAGTGAAGATCGACATCATTTGACATAAGCTTATAACCATGACTGCTGTGCTGAAAATAAACTAAAAGGTAGCTTGAGTAAAAGCAGAGAAATCAGTTAAAAGTCAGCAATCCAGGAGAGATAAAAGTGACTTAGACCAAGGTTGAAGGAAAAAAGTGATCAGTTTTTTTAATGTATTTTGAAGGCAGAGGCAACAAGATATGCTGATAAATTAGAGATGTGATATGAGAGAAAGAGAAGAGTCAAAAGAAGATGCTGTACTTTTTGTTCAGAGAAACTGAGGGGAAAGATCAAAGGTAACACAGATTAGAGGGGGAAATGCCAGTTCTTTTTTGACCTGTTAGAGAAGCCTGTCGACATCCAAGGACAGATTTGAGTAAGCAACTTGTGTATGTAAATATGGAATCTAGAAAAAGGTCCTAAAGTAAAGATTGTGTTTAAAGCTATGAGTCCTTCAGTCAACAAACTAAATATACTTAACAAGATGGGACTTTATTTTCCCATAAAATTGAGTTTTTAAAATTGTTAAATTTCCACTGCCTTCAAAGAGAGGAAGTACATTAATTTTCTTGTATTTCAGGATCTTCAAGATGAAGTTCATAGGGAGAATACAAATCTTCAAAAACTACAGGCCCAGAAACAGCAAGTACAGGAGCTCCTTGATGGACTGGATGAACAGAAAGCCCAGTTGGAGGAGCAGCTCAAGGAAGTCAAAAAGAAATGTGCTGAAGAGGCCCAACTGGTAAAGTCTGGCTGTTGGTTTCTGCCTGATCTATACCTTAATTGTTTCCCCTAGTTTAAGCTGAAAATATTTCTTTGTTTCTTCTTGTTATTAAATGGCAATTTAATTAGCATTTGGTCACATGAAAGAAATGGAACCAGGTTTATTCAGAACCTTTCTAGGGGAAATGGGGCACTTAATATATTGTTTTTCCAAATTTTAATTTGATAGTGTGGTATCTATAACCTTCAATTCTCTTTTCTTCCTCGCAGAATTACTCTTTTCTACCAAGAACATACATAAAAACAAACTAACAAACTAAAACAATAAGCCAAACAAATAAATGTATTGCATTATGAGACATTTTAATGACATCTCTTTTTTCAGTCTCTTTCCTTTCACTTCTGTATTACAGATTTCATCCCTGAAGGCTGAATTGACAAACCAAGAATCACAAATTTCCACTTACGAAGAAGAGCTGGCCAAAGCTAGGGAAGAGCTAAGTCGCCTACAGCAAGAAACAGCAGAACTGGAGGAGAGTGTGGAGTCAGGGAAGGCTCAGCTGGGGCCTCTTCAGCAGCACCTGCAAGATTCACAGCAGGAAATCAATTCAGTAAGTCTTTGTAACAGCAAGAAATGGGCTCAAATGGGCCCTCACACATCTGTTAGTAAGTAATACTTTTCTGTTCCATCTTTCCAGTTCAGTATTCATTTTTCAGACATTTTATACAAATGGACTTCTTGTCATCTGTCAATTTCAAACTATCAAGCTTCTAGTGGATATGATGATTGTCATTGGAATAATGATTAAGAGTGTGGGCTATATAGTTGAATAGTTTAGGTTTTAAAGTTGGATCTGCCACTTACAATCTGAGTCACTTGAGTGTCATATTTCTCATCTTTTAATTTAGAGAATTAACAATAGCCTACTTGCTAGGGCTGCTGGAGATTACTTAAGGCAAAATCTGTGAGACTTTTTAGATAGTGCTTGGTACATAAATGTTCAATATATGTTTCTCATTTTATATAACATAACATACATACACATATATGTATACAACATGTTCTGTAACATACATAACATATAGTGTCCTCTTTGTGATTCTAATCCTAAAAATCAGTTTTGCTCATTTGAAAACCTTTATTTTTTAAATTAGGATATTGTTCTTTATAGAGATAAATCTATAGTATTGTGATGTGTGCAAAGTACAAGTCCTCTTTTTTATTTCTAGGTTTCCCTAAATCAAGAAACTACTTTGTAGAATGATAGTAAGACAGATAGGTGCAGAGAGTTCATGTAACCCATTGCTTTCATTTTGAGTTTGAACAAATTGAACCCAGTGGAAGCTACGTGACTTGCCTGTGGTTAAATAGCCTTCAAAAGAACCACAGTCTAGAGTTCAGATCTTCTTAAATCTTTAAAAGTCTTTTGTCCATTAAAAAATTGGGTTGTTAAATGCCCAAAGTAGATGACTGAATAAAAAAGATGTAGTACATATATATATATATATATATATATAGTGGAATATTACTCAGCAACAAAAAAGTAAACTCATGCCTTTTGCAGCAACATGAATGGAGCTGGAATGGGATCATGCTTAGTGAAATAATACAGAAAGAAAAAGAAAAATATAGGATGGTTTCACTCATAGCAGGAGCATAATGGACCAGAGAGAATAAAAATAATAATAAACACCTATATACCAGGGACATTTTATGGGGCTGGAGTGGGGATGGGATCAAAAAAAAGAGGGGGGAAGTACATGGGACTATGGTGATGGTACACGGTGATTTGGTGATGGGAAGTCCACGGGGATTACAACTGAGATGGAAAAAGGCACAAAATGATACGAAAATAAACTATTATAATAAAATTTTAAAATATTGGGTTGTTTGCCTCATCAAAAAATGGGCAGAAGAGCTAAAAAGACACTTCTCCAAAGAGGAAATGCAGATGGCCAACAAGCATATGAAAAAATGTTCAACATCACTCGTAATAAGGGAGATGCAAATTAAAACCACAATGAGATACCACCTCACCCCAGTGAGAATGGCACATCTTCAAACAACTAGCAACAACAAATGTTGGTGAGGATGTGGAGAAAAAGGAACTCTCCTGCACTGCTGGTGGGAATGCAGACTAGTACAACCACTACAGAAAACTGTTTGGAGGTTCCTCAAACTGCTAAACATGGAGCTTCCCTACGACCCAGCAATCCCACTCCTAGGTATCTACCCAAAAGACACAAAAACACTGATTGAAAAAGATACCTGCACCCCCATGTTTATTGCTGCTTTATTTACAATTGGAAAAACATGGAAGCAGCCCAAATGCCCAAAAGTAGATGAGTGGATTAAAAAGATGTGGTGCATATATACAATGGAATATTACTCAGCAATCAAAAAAGAGAAACACATGTCTCTTGCAGCAACTTGGATGGAGCTGGAAAAGATCATGCTTAGTGAGATAAGCCAGAAAGAGAAAGAAAAATACCGGATGGTTTCACTCATAGCAGGAGTATAATGGACCAGGCGAGAAAATAACAAGAATAATGAACAGCCATATACCAGAGACATTTTGTGGAGGTGGAGTGGGGAATGGGATCAAAAACAGGGAGGGTAGGGAGGGAAGTGCACGGGATTATGGTGATGGCACACGGGTGATTTGGTGATGGGAAACCCACGGGGATTACAATCGAGATGGAAAAAAAAAATGTACAAAATGATGTAAAAATAAACTGTTATAAAAAAAATGTAAGTAAGCTCATCAAAAAAAAAATATTGGGTTGTTTGTCTTATAAATGTAAGAAGTTAAGATATGTATTTATTCTGGAAGTAAGTCTGTTATCAGATATTTGTTTGCAAATAATTTTTGCCTAATCTTTGACTTATCTTTTCACTTTCTTGTCTTGACTTTTTGAAAGGGGAGTTCCTTCAATGGAAGGCTTATAAATGAGAAGAGTAAAGAGGACTCTGAGTATTATTTATTATTGCTGAGTAAATAAAAGTGTTTGTTAGCAAGTTTGATAGCCTTAGCAAACTACACTAGCAGAATATATTTAGTATCTTTGGAAAGAATTATATCCTTATGTCTCATCTCCAAATTTTAAAAATAAGCATACCAATTTCTTATATTTTACTCAGTGACTTATGTATCTTTCCCACAGAAGGCATTACATTCCCATGGGTTTAAAAAATGGGAAAATCTGGTTATAAATCAGTCTGAGACTTTTCATAGCTCACTAGAGCTTTTCTGTTAACCTATAATTTTCCTGGAAAAAAGGAGTGAATAAGGAAAATTATTCTGACTTCCTGAATTGTCACCTTACATAGTATTTGGAGCAAGAGAAAAGGGAAAGAACCTCTGTCCTTAACTCTGTCTTACTTATAGAATACAAACTATTTTATCTGAGTATTTCTGGTGTTCTCATAGTTTCTGTACTTCTCTTGCACAAGTTGCAGAGTTTGTGTTGGTTTTTTTTTTTTTCCCTGTGTTTTCTGCGTTTATGCAGAGATTAAAGAAGAACACAGACTGAGTGATAGGTGTGTGAGAGAATCAGACATAGGAAAGCCTGCTGTGTTCAAGATTTTATCAGTATCTCAGAAACACCTTTAAGGAACAAACTGCTAAATAGGACAGTTTGATAAGCAAGGGTTTCAAATACTTTTTGCTTCCTCAATTAGGTGGGTGCTATTTTTTTTTTTTAACACTGATAATTTTTTTTTATTTTTTTATTATAAAAGTTTATTTTTATATCATTTTGTACATTTTTTTTTCCATCTCGATTGTAATCCCCGTGGGTTTCCCATCACCAAATCACCTGTGTGCCATCACCATAATCCCATGCATTTCTCTCCCCCCACCCCCGTTTTTGATCCCATTCCCCACTCCACCCCCACAAAATGTCTCTGGTATATGGTTGTTCATTATTTTTGTTATTTTCCACCTGGTCCATTATACTCCTGCTATGAGTGAAACCATCCGGTATTTTTCCTTCTCTTTCTGGCTTATCTCACTAAGCATGATCTTTTCCAGCTCCATCCAAGTTGCTGCAAAAGACATGTGTTTCTCTTTTTTGATTGCTGAGTAATATTCCATTGTATATATGTACCACATCTTTTTTATCCAGTCATCTACTTTTGGGCATTTGGGCTGCTTCCATGTTTTTCCAATTGTAAATAAAGCAGCAATAAACATGGGGGTGCAGGTATCTTTTTCAATCAGTGTTTTTGTGTCTTTTGGGTAGATACCTAGGAGTGGGATTGCTGGGTCGTAGGGAAGCTCCATGTTAAGCAGTTTGAGGAACCTCCAAACAGTTTTCTGTAGTGGTTATACTAGTTTGCATTCCCACCAGCAGTGCAGGAGAGTTCCTTTTTCTCCACATCCTCAAGGTGGTTGCTATTTTAATGTTAAGGTTTTAAATTTTAGATGACAAGGAAGATGTTGAAATTGTTTTTAAGTTTTTTAATGAAATAGGAAGCAGTGTATTACATGTAGTAAAAGGTGAAAGATTTATATGATCTGAAGAGAAACCAGAGTATATATTACATGTAGTAAGGATAAGTTACTGCTTTGTGAAACTTGTTTCACCAATCTATGTACATGTATATGTGTGCATATGTATATATGTATTGCATGCGTGTGTGTCTGTATGTTTAGTTTATATATACATATATACAAAGGGACATAGCCATGTATATATATGTCCATATATATTTGCTGGGTTAGGATATAAAATCTATTTCTAAAAATTAAAGGAAAAAGCGTAAGCAATTCCTAGTACTTATAGCATGGGGAATATATATGACATGTAAGCTGTATGTTTTGAAAGTGTAGGATTTTTTGATTAATAGTTTAAATTCTAAATACAAGGCAATTTGGTGGATAACATGCTTACTGATTCTAGGTATTTAAATTTAAACTAACACAATGTTTGTGTTAGTTCAATCTGTATTAAGTACCTTCAGTATGCATCATTCTACTAAATGTTGGAAATACAAAGTAAACAAAAGTTGTATTCTCTCAGAGAGTTTATAATTTTTTTAAAATGGGGTAGATTAGTGGCAAATTAATTACTATAGTTGTGGAAAATGAAATATGCTAGGCATTTTTACATATAGTGTCCATCATTTATATTTCGCTTCACATAATGATCATCTGTGGGGTAAAAAAAAAAAACAATTATTCATGAAGATAGTTCTTACTCCGTTCATGGATTAAGAAATGGAGCCTGAGAGAGGGGCTTTTGACCAAGGTCACCTAACTAAAAAGTAACAGAGCTAGATTGACATTTGTCTCCCACTCCAACATACAGGTTCTTAGAGCTCTCATAAGGTGTAGAAAAGTAAACCCATATATGCTGGAATTTCACAAGGTGTATGTACTGAAATGGATTATGGAAATCCTTTCTCTAAATAATGCACTATACCAGAAGATTCTCCTTAATGGAAGCAAATTTATTCTTGATCAAGTCTAGGAGTATAGCCATTTTTATGTTGTATGCCTTTCTAGTAATAAATTCTGTTTGTATTTCTACTTTGTCTTGACAGATGCAAATGAAACTGATGGAAATGAAAGAGCTAGAAAACCATAATAATCAATTAAACTGGTGCAATAACCCACACAGCAATCTTGTAAATGGTGCTACAGATTATTGCAGCCTAAGCACCAGCAGCAGTGAAACAACCAACCTTAATGAACCCGCTGAAGGTCAAAACAACCTGGAGTCTGAGCCCATACACGAGGAGTCACCAGTAAGTCTTATGGTTCCATAACCTTCACAACTCATGGCAGAAAAAAATTGAATCAACTCAAACTTTTGTTGATATAATACCTAATGTCACATAATGAAGACATGAGTTTTTTTAAAAGAGACAGAGAATGGATACTGATCCCATAGTTCTAACATTTTTTTTAATAGTGTAAAAGTATGTTAGCTCACTTACTTGTTATAGAGCATTTTAAAAGGTAGTAATTTTTTTTAATATATAATAGTTTATTTTTACATCATTTTGTGCATTTTTCCATCTCATTTGCAATCCCCTTAGGCTTCCAGTCACCAAATCAACCATGTGCAATCACCATAGTCCAGTGCATTTCCCTCTGCCCACTGTTTTTGATCCCACTACCCACTCCACCCCCACAAAATGTCTCTGGTATATAGCTGTTCATCATTATCATAATTTTCTCACCTGTTCCGTTATATTCCTGCTATGAGAGAAATCATCGATATTTTCCTTTTCTTTCTGGCTTATTTCACTAAGCATGATCTTTTCCAGTTCCATCCATGTTGCTGCAAAAGACATGTGCTCTTTTTTGTTTTTGGTTGCTGAGTAATATTCTATTGTGTATATGTACCACATCTTTTGAATCCAGTCATCCATTTTTGGGCATTTGGGCTGTTTCCATGTCTTTCCAGTTGTAAATAAAGCAGCATTAAACATGGGGGTGCAGGTATCTTTTTCAATCAGTGTTTTTGTGTCTTTGGGGTAGATACCTAGGAGTGGGATTGCTGGGTCATAGGAAGCTCCATGTTTAGCAGTTTGAGGAACCTCCAAACAGTTTTCTGTAGTGGTTATACTAGTTTGCATTCCCACTAGCAGTGCAGGAGAGTTCCAAAAGGTAGTAATTTTTAAAAACAATTTTAAGTGCTCAGCCCTAAAACTGAACGTAATTATTTCATAGTGTTGAAGATACTTACCAGTTATTTAGAGAGCACCTACTATGTGCAAAAGTTATCTTGTATTATATGTGAGAGTTACTAAGAATCTTTAACCTTCCTTCATAGCCTATAGTCTAGTAGACTGTGTTAGAGGACTGTGATAGAGAAAGAATAGGATATTCCGGTAGAACAGTTGGAGAGGATGCAGGGAAGATTTTGTAGAAAAAACATTGCAAGTGAACTTTGAAGTAAGAAAGATTAGGCAAAGAAAAGGATGCTATATGCCTGGCAGAGAAAACAGGATTATCATAGGTAAGAAATGGGAGAAGACAAACTGTACTAGGTCATGAAAGTATTGAAGGATATATTATAATAATGGGAGAGTACTGGCAGGAAATGAAACTGTCTCCCAGTGGGTACCTGTATTTCCTCAGTTACTTTATTAAAATACAGATATCTTAGCCCCACTCTGAACTTGGTCACCTAGATGTGGGTATATTTTAAAAAAAATTATATAGGTGATTGTAATGTATAACTACATAAAAATGAATACTCAGGTTAGAAAAACCACAAAGTGAAAAAATCTGGACTTATCTTGATGTCTTGATGCTTACTGCAGTTCTCTCTTTTTGCAGTGAGTAGATGTTGAAGTATATATGACAATAAGTGACATGATTACTTGTTCCTTTTAAAAAAGTATGAAGGGGGCTTTTTGGGCATAGGAGTTAAGCTTTAGTGTTAATATACTAGCACCACTGACTGTAGCCTGAGTTTGATCCCCAGCTAGGGAGGTGACCTACATATGGTGCAGAGACTACTCCTTGTCTGGCCTGCTGCCTTATCAGATCCACCTGTTCTGTTCTTTATCTCTAGTGGTTTCTCTCACTCCCCAGTTTTTCTTTACATAAATAAATACTTTTTAAAAACATTATCTTCTAAAAAAATATAAATAAAAAACATGAAAAATGGGTATGGAGAGTATAATTGGACAATGTAGAACTATCTTAGGAGACTAGTGGAATGATCTATGTGAGAATTGTTTTAGCTTAAACTTAAGCATTACATGGGGGATAATGAGGAAAAAATCAAGTTTAATAGCTATTAAAAATATAAAATTACCAAGACTGATTTATGTAGGCATTACAGTCTTAGATACATTATACAATAGTCTTTTAAGGACAGAAAGCAAACCAATAGGTTATGCTTAAAAGATATGTAGTGTATGAAATGGAGATTGTCCTTAAAAATTAGTTTTGCTCATTTGAAAACCTTAATTTTTTAATTAGGAAATTGTTCTTTATACAGATAAATGTGTATAAATCCACATTTCTGGCATAAATCCAGAAAGTGATAAGAAGCCACTTGAACTTTCAACCAGAGGTTCATGATGGGTTCACATCTTTTACTTTACAACTCTGAAAAAGGATAGATTAGAAGAAGTAAGAAGGCAGTTGGTGGGTTACTGCAGTAATCTATACCAAAAATATATTACTACCACAAATGGGTCTTAGTGACACAGCATTATTATAAATGATGACAGTAATAATACAGAGGAAGTAAAGGATTTGAGGAAGAGATAGAAGGTAGACTTATTAAGACTGGGAATCTCAGGGAATAACCAAAGGGATGTGGCTAAGAGTGGCCTCAGGTCTCCTGGTCTGAATGGTTTTAATGCTGATGAGGCCATTTCCCAAGAAAGATTTTGGGAGGATCAGATTGTTTAAAAAAAACAAAGTAGTTTTTGGTTATTTCTAGTCAGCTTCCTCGGCCAAGCACAAAATACATTGTTAATCCATGTAGTTATTATTTTGTAGGCAAGAAGTAGTCCAGAAATTTTGCCTTCTGGTGTGACTGATGAAAGTGAAGTGGTGTCTACTCCTGTTGATGACAAAGTTTGTCCTGAATTTAACAGTGACAAAGATTCAAAAGAGGTAAAAATAATTTTATATGTAAATGATCTTCTCACTGGTTTTTCTAGATGGGGATACACATTATTTAAGTGGATTTTACGACTACAGAAATATTTGTCATATTATCATCAGTTGATTTTTCAAAACATATTATTTAATTTTTAAATGTTACCTTTTAAATTTTTGATTCACAAATATTTTTAATTAAAAATTATTTTTAGGAAGATCCATTTAATGTAGAAGCAAATTCCCTGACAGATCCAGTTGCAGATTCAAACTTGGATTTTTTCCAATCTGATCCTTTTGTTGGCAGTAAGTACTCTTATTTTTGAATTACATATTTTAAAAAAAAAGGACTTTTAATTATATATAACCTATATAAGAATTAGGAATTTGGTTTTGAGAGCCTTCTTGTTATAGCTAAAAAAGGGGAGTAGATATTTAACATCAGATTTTCTAGTATTTGTTTTCAGGCAACTAAATCCTGGGGCTAAGCCTTTGATTATGTTTAGGAACAACTGATTAAAAGTGCCTTTCTTCTCAGAATAAGGACCAAATGAAAATGTTACTATAGACCAAGAGAGGAGATTGGGCTTCTTAGGCAACTAGCAAGTGTTACTGAAAGAGCCAACACTATGCCTTTAAAAATGGAAACTATAATAGTTAGAAGCCTGATCTCTGCCCTTAAGGTGCCAGCAGTATTGTTGAAGACTTTGTTTTTTGTACATATAGAACTGGGGTACAGGCTAGAGGCTCAGGGGCAGTGAGAGGCTTCACAGAGACAGAGGGGGGAGCAGAACAGGCAGATTGACGAAGTACACTGCTGAGGGGAGCAGCGGGCGGGTCAGGAGAGGTCTGCCACGCCATGTGGTCATCTCCGGGGCAGGGGGTATCGAACTCATGCGGAAGTGGCTTTAGCTTCTCAGTGCTGTGCCTTAACCAGCTGCGCCACCAGGGACGGCCGTATTGTTGAAGACTTTTAACTACCATTTGTATAAATGTAAACACTACTTTTTTGCATTTTACCTATTATATATTTCTGAAACTTTCAGGTCAATTTATGTCATTTTTAAAGTTGAAACACTAATGCATGTAAATAAAAACTTGCTCAGTCATAGCAGAAATGAGCCTAAATCGTAGGACAGAGAAGGACCAGGACAGGAGTAGGAAGAGTACACGGGACTACAGTGATGGTGCATGACTGAATTAATTGGTGGTGGAAATTTCATGGGGAAACCATATATTTTACAAAAATGAAGGATGATACCGTGAATATATTAAAAAATTTTTTAAAAAACTTTATTGTGACACATAAAATATTTAAAGGTTTATTTATTGTACACATAAATAAGTGGCTTTAGAATACTCAAAGTTAAGTAATTATCACCGAAGTCCAATTTTGGAACACCTTTATCACCCCATACCTATTAGTGGTCACTTCCCCTCCATTCCCTGTTCCCCAGCTTATTTTATTGTTGACCTGTATTAACATATTTTGAATACAAGCTCCTTAATCAAACATGTGAGGTTGCAAATATTTTCTTATATTCTCATGCCCCAATATTGATGAAATCAAATTTATCTATTCTTTTAAGGACAAAAAGCAAACTAGTAGGTTATCCTTAAAAGATACATGGTGGTGGCCCTCCCTGTTGGCGCAGTAGGTTAAAGCACAGCACTGAAAAGCTAAAAGCCACTTCCGCATGAGTTCGATTCCCGCTTGCCCTGGAGATGACCACATGGTGTGGCAGACCTCTCCTGACCCACCTGCTGCTCCCCTCAGCAGTGTACTTCATCGATCTGCCTGTTCTGCTCCCTACTCTGTCTCTGGTGAAGCCTCTCACTGCCCCTGAGCCTCTGGCCTGTACCCCAATTCTGTATGCACAAATAAATAAATCTTAAAAAAAAAAAGATACATGGTGGTTTGAAAAGGAAATTGTCATCCTTCTTTTGTCGCTGTGCTCTTGATGCCATATCTAAGATACAATGTCATGAAAATTTACTCCTATGTTTTCTTCTTCAGAGTTTTATCATTAATTTGGTATGTTTGATACATCTTGAGTTAATTTTGGTATATGAGATAGTTCTCCTAGCACCATTTACTGAAAAGACTATTTTTTCTCCAGTGAATTGTCTTGACACTCTTGTTAGAAATTAATAGTAAAGGACATGTCAATTCTTTAAGATTCTTTTTTACTTTATTGAAGTTCAGTGTCTTATGCAGTAGTTATGGTAATAGCCATTTAGTGCTCTTGTGAGAAGAAATTTTGTTAAATTATTGCCTGTCTTTTCTCTCCATTTATATTCTCAATTTATGATCAAGGGGTAAGTATAGTTGACTCTAATTCAGATTTGTCTCTTTCACAAGGTGTGATTGTGTTCTCTTTTTTCTTATTATTATTTTAAATGTTTCCTAAATAAAGGTGGATTGTATTCTTTATTGTATTGTGTTGTATTCTTTGTGTTCACCTACTACTTCCAGCTAGGGTTTCTGAAGACTACTTGGTATTATGTTACCCTTTAAGTAATAGTAACACAGCAGTAAATATTGTTATTTTGACTTCTGCTTATTTATTTTTATTACAGGCGATCCTTTCAAAGATGATCCTTTTGGGAAAGTTGGTCAGTATATTATTAAAAAGCACTTTAGCTATAATTGGATTTTGCTTAATTATGAACTTATGATATATTTAGGAATGGGAGGTCACAATTGGATAATTATAGGAAATGGACTTTTCCTTTTTTTGTTTAGTTTGAAACTAATTTAAGGTCTCACTAACATGTTGCATTTCCTGTTATTTTCAGAGACAGAGTGGTAGGCTCTTGTGATTTGCTTAATAAACTGCTAGCCCTCCCTTGTGGCGCAGTGGGTAAGGACGCAGCACTGCAAGCTGGCCACAGTTGCTTCGGTGTGAGTTCTATACCGAAGATGACCCACATGGTGCAGCAGACCTCTCCTGGTCTGCCTACTGCTCCCCTAAGCAGTGTACTTTGTCATTCTGCCTGTCTGTTCCCCATTCTGTCTCTGGTGAATCCTCTCACAGCCCCTGCACCTCTGATTTGTATCCCATTTCTGTATGCATAAATAAATAAATAAATTTTAAAAAGGAAAATTAAGCTTTAAAAAATAAAATAAACTGCTAGTTTTGTTTTCCTAAAAAATGACATTAATATTTATGTTTTGCTTTTAATATTTACACTGTCTTCTCTTTAATTGCCAGTTACCTACCTCTACAGAATTTGAAACTTAGGTTTTTCTAAGATAACAGCATATTCATAAGGATGGGGAAACAGAAACATCTTAAAGAATTACTATGTCAGGCTTTTTAAGATACTCTTTTCCTGGGACTTGTACACTAAAGGAAACAAATCTTTGTACCATTTAATTTTACTTCCTAGACCTATTCCAAACTGTTGGCTTTGAGCTCAGAGAGAGAAATACATTTTTAAAGTTTTGGTTATTTCTTTAATTATAATAGTGTAGGCTCAGGGTCTTAACATGGAATTCCTTGAAATTATATGCTAATGTAAAAAATAAGTTTATTAGGTGATATTGTATCTTTTGCCAAAACCACAAAGGAGTTTGTGGTACTCCCCCAAATTAGAATTTCCACTTGAAAGGTGTTATTTAAACCTAGCATACAGGTAACTTTTGTGTAGTAAGAGTTGGAATTACTGACCTTCTTTGGGTAAATGATGAGCAAGTAGGAAATAATTTTAAATAAAGTAATTTGAGTAAGTACAACTGTCTATACTTTTTTAAATGACCAGTATACTGCAGAGTATTTAGGTTTTACAAGATTTCAAAATGTCTTTTTTTTTTTTTTTTAAGATTTATTTATTCATGCATATAGAACTGGGGTACAGGCCAGAGGTGTAGGGGCAGTGAGAGGATTCACCAGAGACAGAGTGGGGAGCAGAACAGGCAGATCTATGAAGTATACTGCTGAGGGGAGCAGCAGGCTGGTCAGGAGAGGTCTGCGGTGCCATGTGGTCACGGGGGTGGCAGAGGGCGGGGGTGGGTTGCAGGGATCTAACTCATGCTGAAGTGGCTTTTAGCTTCTTAGTGCTGTGCTTTAACCCGCTGCGCCACTAGGGAGGGCCGTCAAAATGTCTTTTAATTAAAGCAATTATCATGCCTTCGGGTGACAGAAATCTTAATAGTTTTTCCTATTTGTGCTGTATTTTCTTAGATCCATTTGGAGGTGATCCATTCAAAGGTTCAGATCCATTTGCATCTGACTGTTTCTTCAAGCAATCATCTACTGATCCTTTTACTACTTCAAGTACTGATCCTTTCAGTGCAGCCAGCAGTAATAGTAATACATCGGTAAGAGGGAGGATTTAAGCCTGTTGAGTGTCCTAAGAATGTTTCTTAAAATATACAGTGTTGAAAAAAATCTCCTTTAGGTTACTTCTAATGGGCTGTACAAAAATTTCGAACTTCTTTAACCTACCTACTTTTTAGTTCAAACAGAGTGGTATTTCACAACTTAATCACCCATTGGAATTGACTGGAATAACTTTTGTCATCCAAAAATCAAGTTAATCCTTCAAAAGATCAAATATTATCCCATTGAAGTTATAATGAATGGAAGAAATAACATTGCTCAAATTTAAAATGGCCATCTTACCCAAAGCAATGAACAGATTCAGTGCAATCCCTATCAAAATTCCTATGGCATTTTCAAGAAAATAAAACAAACATTAGTAAAATTTGCAAGAAACCACAAAAGACCCAGAATAACCAAATTCCTGACAAGAAAGAAGAAAGGTACTCAAAATATAATGCAAAGCTAGGAGTAGTCTGAACAGTATGGTAATAAGTAAAAAGACACACAGATCAATGGAATATAGTTGAGAGCCCAGAAATAAACACATGCTTTTATGGATAGTTGATTACAACAAAGAAGCCATGAGCATAAACTGAAGAAGAAAAATCTCTCCAAGAAATGGTGCTGTGTAACTGAATAACCTCCAAACAATGAGGTGGATTTTTTTTGTTTGTTTTTGCTTTTAAATTAGGAAAAACTGCTTTGACTTTCTTGCTCTTTCAATAAGAGTGAAGAATGAGAGTCTGAAATAAGTGAGAGGAAAAGAATTCTAAAAAATGAAACTAGACTAGACACTGTAACAAAAATTAATTCAAAATGGATATATAAAATTTTATGAAACACTATATCAAAAAGATAATATGCACTCCTATGTTCATTGCAGCACAATTTACAATAACCAAGCTATGAAGACAACCTTAAGTGCCCATTGAGAGTTGAATAAAAATGTGGTTTAAATACAAAATGCAATACAACTCAGATGTAAAAGTAAGATGAAGTAGTGTGAGTTTTGACAATGTGAATGGAACTGGAGGGAATATACAAAGCAAAATGAGGCAGGAGAAAGACAAATAGTTTTACTCATGTGAAATATATATAAAAGGAGAACAACAGAACAGACCAAACAAACTGATTGCAGAATGAAGGTTACCAGAGGAGAAAGGGGGTGGGAGCAAAAAGTGGAGGGTGTCTAATGGACTAGGAGAGGGTTGTTGTTATTTTGGTGGTGGGCATAGAGTGGAAACATAAATTTGTGAATTTGTACTCTTAAAATGTAAGCCAACATTACCTCAAGGAAATAGAAATCAGAAAACAACAAAAGCCATATTCCTAAAAGAGTATCCATTCTTTTAAAAATATAGAGTTTGGTATTCTTGAATTATTGTATTTGGTAAAGAGCTGCTTGCCAACAACTGGTAAACTGAGAAAATGCTTCTATAACTGAATATTTGTCATTTCAACAGGCTACTGTATGCTCTGTTTTCCTATAATAGTTAGCAATGTGGCCAGATTCACCTACATTTTGCCACATTCTTCTACAATTGGCTACTTACTTTTTGTCTTTTAACAACCCTAATTTCTCCCTAAAACAACAAATTGGCAATATAATAAGTGCTATGTTTATCTGATTTGTTCTATATGGTAGAGAAAATGCTAAGCTCTTTTCATATACTACTTTATTTAATCCTCACAATAATCCCATGATGTTCATGTTATTATCATTTTAAAGCTAATGGTGGCACAACAGGTTAAAGCACAGCACTATGAAGATATCTGTAGCCACTACAGCACAAGTTAGATCCCCAGCCAGGGAGGTGACCCACATGGTGTGGCAGACCTCTTCTGACCCACCCACTGCTTCCCTCGCGAGTATATTTCAGTATATCTTCCTGTTCTGCTCCCTGCTCTGTCTCCAGTGAATCTTCTAACCCCTCCCCCCCCGCACCTGTGCCTATACCCCAGTTCTTTGTGCGTAAATAAATAAATCCTTTTTTTTTAAAAGATTTATTTATTTATTCATACAGAACTGGGGTACAGGCCAGAGGCTCAGGAGCGGCGAGAGGCTTTACCAGAGACAGAGCGGGGAGCAGAACAGGCAGATCTACGAAGTACACTGCTGAGGGGAGCAGCGGGCAGGTCAGGAGAGGTCTGCCACGCCATGTGGTCACCTCCGGGGCAGGCGGAACTCGAACTCATGCGGAGGTGGCTTTAGCTTTTCAGTGCTGTGCTTTAACCTACAGCATCACCAGGGAGGGCCAATAAATCCTTTTTCAAATAAAAAATTACTGAGGCTTAGAGAGGTTAAATGGTAGTAAGTTATTAAATGATAGAACTGGATTCAAACTCTGGCCTACTTGACCAAAATCAAAGGTCTTTTTCCATTATAAAATTTAAACTTCCCACCTACAAAACCCATGCTTTCTTTAATGGGCTTTCTTCTTTTCAAAAAGCCTCTGACATGAATCTCTCCCCCCATATCTTTCTTTTCCTTCAGTGCTGGTTGCTCTCGGGACATAAATTTAAAAACCAAGCAAAAACATTTCTTACTCTCCTAGCTAATATAAGGTAACATTACATAGGTGCACACTGTCAGAGAGAGTTTTCCCATGATAGTTAGGTGACCTTCTATAGGAGAGTTTTGAAATACTAATTTTTTAAAAATCACAACATCTAGGCCCTCCCTGGTGACACAGCGGGTTAAAGCATAGCACTAAGAAGCTAAAGCCACTTCTGCATGAGTTCGAGTCCCACCTGCCCCGGAGGTGACCACATGGCGTGGCAGACCTCTCCTGACCCTCCCGCTGCTCCCCTCAGCAGTGTACTTCGTGGATCTGCCTGTTCTGCTCCCTGCTCTGTCTCTGGTGAATCCTCTCACTGCCTCTGCACCTCTGGCCTGTACCTCAGTTCTGTATGAATAAAGAAATAAATCTTTAAAAAAAAAATTATAACATCTAAATTTTAGTTGTGAAAATTTTATGTACTAAATTGCTAATATGAAACTGAATGTAAGTTTTGTGCCCCTTTATTCCTTCAGGACTGCATAGATAACCTTTTAAGGTTATGTAGTTAATGATGAAGGAATAGAAATTACATGTGACACATATGTAGGGTGTTTCATGCATTTCTGTCTGTGGTGGCAAATAAAATTTGGCAGCTTTTGTTAGAAACCAGTCCTATTAGTTTTGTTTCCCTCCAAGTCAATAAAAGCAGTAGTAGTATTTGGTGACTTAAGTTATGTCAGTGAGAAACCATAAAATACACACAAATAAAAACTACATTGAAAAAACATTGCATGGCATACCTCATTAATATATTTGAGGACTCATCTGCAAAGCAAAGAAAATGAAGGAAAAGATAAACAACTGTGACCCCCTGAAGCTCTAAAGCGGCTGTATAGCAAAAAAGAAAATAGTCAAAGAGGCACTCTACTGGTTGGAAGGAAATATTTACACTCCATCAGGCTGATAAAGGACTGATTTCAAAGAGCTCACACAACTCAACAAAATTAAAACAAACAATCCAGTCAAAAAAAATGGCTAGAGGCCCTCCCTGGTGGCGCAGCGGGTTAAAGCACTGCACTAAGAAACTAAAGAGCCGCTTCCGCATGAGTTCGATTCCCGCCTGCCCCGGAGGTGGCCACGTGGCGTGGTAGACCTCTCCTGACCCGCCCGCTGCTCCCCTCAGCAGTGTGCTTGGTCGATCTGCCTGTTCTGCTTCCCGCTCTGTCTCTGGTGAATCCTCTCACCCTCCGCATCTCTGGTCTGTACCCCAGTTCTGTACGAATAAATAAATAAATCTTAAAAAAAAAATGGCTAGAAATGCTAAAAATGACAATTCTCCAAAGAGGAAATGCAAACGGCCAACAGGCATATGAAAAAATGCTCAACATCACTTATATTCAGGGAAATGCAAATCAAAACCACAATGAGATACCAGCTCACATAGGTGAGAATGACCCATATTTTAAAAACTGCCAAGAATGTGGTAAAAATGGAACCCCATTACACTGCTAGTGAGAATGCAAACTGCCAAGGTTTTTTGGTTGACCTTCAAAAAAGAGCCTGATACCAGAAAGATAAAATTTAGTTTTTAAATTCACAATTTGATGAGTAAAAACTAAAACTAAAGTATAATGTAGGAAGACAGGTGACTAGCAGGGATCTCTGGCTTCAGGTCAAGTTCTCATTCTTGGTACCTATGAACCCTTGTCACATGATCCCAGATTGTGATATAGCTTATCTTTTTATCAGAAAGGTCTTTCTCACACTTGTATACATCGGTATTTCCTCTGGGGAGCAGAATGCTAAAATTATTTTAGACAGAAAGTAGAGATCACCTAGCATTTTCTCATATTAAATACTAGGATATTTAAGAGTTAGAAGACTGACATCCTAAATGCAGCATGACATCCTAGAATGGAAAAAAAAATATTAATGGAAAAGTGAGTGAAATCCAAGTAAAGTTAGTAATTTATAGTTCTGGACAGGGTTTATTCCTTGGCTTTAAAAGATAATGCTGTGACTATATGAGCTGATAATATTAGAGGAAGCTTGGTGAAGGGTGTATGGAAATTCTGTATTTTTTTCTGTCAGTCTAAAATTATTTCAAAATCTAAAGTTAAAATAGTATGCATCTATAGTAAATTATGATGAAAAGCATGAATACCACCAGTCAGGATAATAATTACTTCTCCAGAGGAAGCTTGGATTGTTACTGGGGAGGAACACATGAAGACTTGTTGGCATTTTCCTGGTAGATGATTACTAAGTGTTCATTTGATACTGATTTGTTAAACCATACGTATATTTCATACATTTTTGTGAATAGATGTTAGAGTTCACAATAAAAGAGAAAATACGTACCATTTTGATTTAAAAACACTATAAATCAGTAGGGTGAAACATTTGTTCCTAACACCTTGCTATTTATTTAGATTTTGTAAAGAATATTTTCTTCAACATGGCTGTGAGGTTTCAGCTATGAAATGTTGCCTCTCTGAGTACTGGTTTTGTATAATTTGTTTAGGTAGAAACAGTGAAGCACAATGATCCTTTTGCTCCTGGGGGAACAGTTGTTGTTGCAGCAAGTGACTCAGGTAAGAAAATAATTACCAGGGTTTTTTTTTGAACTATAAACACTAGTCTTTTCTTTACGCTTTTTTTTTGGTCTCTATATTTGTCTTATTTATGACTAAAAATTACTGTACAATTATACCCAATTATAATCTGCCAAGAATAATGATGACAAATTTGTATCACCTTCTACTTTTCTTGCCAATTTATTATTTATTGTTTGTGTTAAAGATTTTATTATAATATGTATTCTAGCCATTATCAGTAAAGTTAATAAAAATTGTTTTGTTTTGGGCCCTCCCTGGTGGCACAGTGGGTTGAAGAGCAATACTATGAGGAATCTGCAGCCACTATATAGCACAGGTTCAATTCCCGGCCAGGGTGCTGACCCATGTGGTGTGGCAGACCTCCCCTGTTCCCACCGCTGCTCCCCTCAGCAGTGTATTTCAATCAGTTTGCTTATTCTGCTCCCCACTCTATCTCTGGTGAATCCTCTCACCCCCTGCGCTTTTGGCCTGTGCCCTATTCTTTTATGCATAAATAAATGGGTAAATCTTTTAAAAAAATTGTTTTGTTTTCTCAAAGGAGATATGGCTTGACAACTTCAACACCTGCTTTGATTTTTAAGTATGGTGGTCTAAATTAAAAGATGTGTGGTTTCCAATTGGCAATAATAATAACTTTACAGATAGGGTAGATATTATCAACAATACAGAAAGAAGCAAAATTTAATTCTAGAATTCAGGCTTGATGCTATATTTGTGGTATCATGTTTTTTAATTTTTCATTTATAGATAGACCTCTTAGGTAATATTCTCATTTTAAAAATCAGGAAGTTGAGGACTAGAACACTAAATAGCTTGATCAATATTCTACAGTTTACTACATTTGAATTAGGAGAAGCCCAGAATCTTAGCTGAATTTGATGTTTAAAAACTTTTTCAGCTAAGTAACTGCCTCCTTCTCAATTTTTATTTAAAAATAAATCAGGGCCCTCCCTGGTGGCGCAGCGGGTTAAAGCACAGCACTGAGAATCTGAAGCCACTTCCGCATGAGTTCGATTCCCGCCTGCCGCCTGCCCCGGAGGAGACCACATGGCGAGCCAGACCTCTCCTGACCCGCCCACTGCTCCCCTCAGCAGTGTACTTCGTCAATCTGCCTGTTCTGCTCCCCACTCTGTCTCTGGTGAAGCCTCTCACCGCCCCTGAGCCTCTGGCCTGTACCCCAGTTCTGTATGAATAAATAAATAAATCTTTGAAAATAAATCAGACCAGCTATTGCATAGAGTAGGAATTAGAGGGAAAGGATTCAAACGTGTAAATATTTTAGTATCATTCTGAAATTAGTATACTTTGTTTATATAGGTGAAACTAGAATGAGTTACTCACTACAGTTATTTGCTTATTATGATAAATTGAGGATAATGAACATAATGACAGATGAGTAGAAATAACTTCACAACTTGGATTTCATGTACTGTATAATTTGAAACAAGATGAGATTTAGCAGTGTGCATTGTTTTCAGATTGAAAATTTACTTTGAGTATGAGTTGCAAGAAGGAGAAATGTAAGAAGCAGATGTGTAGGAAACAATGTTTAATGTAGTGTTGGGTATTGATTTAAACCAAAACTAAGAACACAGTTTATAAAAGATTTATAATAGCAGTGGTTAAATTATGTCTTTTAAAAATGTATGTGCTTTCTAAGGCTCTCATTACTGAATTGATAAATTAATATGTTGCTAAGGACTTTTCTATGACTAGAAAAAAATAAGAGTTAAAGAAAGGGTTTAGACATTTATATTTGATTCTTGTTCCCCACATAAATGAAATGGTTAAGTGCCATGAGAGTTATCAAAGCTATAAACACTGAAAGGAAAGGAGGACCACCTCCGTTTAGGGTAAATCATACATAACTTCAAAACAGAGATAGCTTTTGTGGTACATCATGAAAGAATGGACTAGGATTTTAGAAATGGAAGGAGAGAATGTAAAACAAAGTAACCTGAGCAAGGAATGGAGGCAGGATATATGGGGCATGTTGAAAGAAAAACAAGACATTTTGATATAGAGAAAATAGCCAGGTTAGAGCTAACGTGCTAGATTGCATTCTTAGTATGAAACATTTCTAATGCCTTTGTTGGTCTTTTCTTTTAATTCCATTTCCTCACTCACTTCCTATAAAGTGGTGGCGTGAGGGGGCTAAGATTTATTGTAATTAATCATGATAATAGATACCATTTAGTGAGTCTTATGTAGTTCTAGCACCGTGTACTGACATTTTCAGTGTTTTGTCTCCTTTAATTCTCACAGACCACTGCATGAGATAATTGGTGTTATGTTTATTGTGCAATCAAGGAAAATCAGGACATGGAGCGGCAAAGCTATTTCACAAGGTTAAAGAATTAATAGGGGATCCATGTTCACATGAGGTCTTGTGTTTTCCACTGTCCTTTTGATTATTGTTTCATATTTCCTTTGCTGATTTTTCCTCTTTTTTTTTTTTTAAAGATTTATTTATTTGTGCATACAGAACTGGGGTACAGGCCAGAGGCTCGGGGTGGCGAGAGGCTTCACCAGAGACAGAGTGGGGAACAGAACAGGCAGATCGACGAAGTACACTGCTGAGGGGAGCAGTGGGCGGGTCAGGAGAGGTCTGCCACGCCATGTGGTCACCTCCTGGGCAGGCGGGGATCGAACTCATGCGGAAGCGGCTTTAGATTCTCAGTGCTGTGCTTTAACCCGCTGCGCCACCAGGGAGGGCCCTGATTTTTCCTCTTAACTTTGTATTGTGCTTCTCCATATCTTATACCCTGGACCTCTTTTCTTCTCTGTATTCCTTCAGGGGCCTCATCTGGTTTCCTGACCTTACTTGTTACCCATGACTAATGTATATCTCTAGCTACACCTTTTTCTTAAACTTTTAAGCTCATATCCAGCCACTTATTGACATCTTCCCTTCTATGTCTGATAAATAGAACTAGCACAAATATCTAATACCAGACATCTAATCTTCTTCCCCATATCTGCTTCTCTTACAACTTTCCTCATCTTAACTCATAGTAATTTCATCTTTATCATTTCTCCGATTGAAACTTTAGAATCCAACTTGGTTCTTTCTTTTTTCTCTGACCCTATTCTTAATCTGTCAAAAAATCTTACTGGTTCTCCTCCAGAATAAATCAGTAAAAATCTTACAATAGCTTATCTTTCTAACAATATTCCAATATATGATTCTAACAATATCACTATGCCTGGATTAACACATTCTGCTTCAGCTACACTGGCCTTCTTGCTTTTGCTCAACAAAAGGTGGTTGTTCTGAGGTCCTTTGTCCTTAGCTCCCCACCCTGCCCACACAACCCCACCCCCTTCCTGGGATGAACTTTCAGTCTCTCACCATTGAGTATAATGTTCATTGTTGACTTTTCACATACAGCATTTTTTTATGTTTATTCTTTTCCTAGAGTGTTGAATGTTTTTATCATGTTGATAAATGTTGAAGATATTTAATTTTGCGAAATGTTTTTCTGCGTCAATTGAGATGATCAATTGGGTTTCCTTCCTTTATTCTATTCATGTGGTATATTTATTCTCATATGTTGAACTGTCCTGAAATATAATGAAAACTTGTATCTTCCTTGTCTGCCATCTAGCTGATGTCCTTGATGGCAGGTTGTGAATGAGAATCTTTGAACCAGATACTCCTGTAGAGTTGAGTGTGCTATATATTAGTGGTGTCTGGACTCAGTTACATAGTCCACACAGAAATATCACAGCTCTGAAATTCCTTTTACTTTCTTTTGATAGTAGCCATACAGATCATCCAAACTTTATTTTTGCATTTTGCATTTTTTTCATTTAATCTTTGCAGTGATTATGAGATAGATACTGTTCTCTTTTGCTTTAAGGATGAGGAAAATTAGTCCAAGGTCATGGTAGCTGTGCCTATGCACATTTTCCAGTTTTTGTCTTTTTCAGAGCTCATGTTCCTACCCACTTACTTTTTCTGAATTAACAGCTATTCAGATACTTCTTTCCTGCTCACAGAACACTGCCTACCTAACAGCAAACCATGAAGCGAGCAGGGCAGGGATTATCAAGTACGTTTTGCAAGAGGCAGCTGGTGCTCAGGGAGATATTTCCTAAAGCCACCACCCCATGTCTGTCAGAGCAGTGACTTAGTCTAGGTTGCAGCCTTCAAACCTCATGCTTGCCTAACTGCATTTGGAGGTCTGTTTAATAATGCCAGCCCAACTCAGGGGGTGACATTATAAAGTAGATGAGAAATGTGAAAAGTTTTAAAACTTCTTTATTTTCTTATATCCTTGTTCATTTTTGTATGATATTTGATTTCTCCACTCAGGTGTAATCTCCATAAGTCTCCCACTATCACATCATCCATGACCTATCATATCACCATGATCCCTTGTACTCTTTTAACCCGTTTTGACCCTTCTTGTCATCCGTAGGTCTGCATAGGTCTGCTGTTGCCCACTTAATTACAGTGACTCTACCTCATCTCCTCATCAAATCCTGAAAATACAAAAGTTGAAATGATGCCACAGACTTTTTTTTCCCTCACACTTATACAGCTACCTTTGTTTGAATTCCAGGGCACCTTAGACATGCTATGGACCAGTTTTCACATTATCTTCCATTAAATTAACTGCAGGGAGTTCCTCAGGGAGTTAGCAGATTCTAATTTCATATTCTTAAGTGTCTTTGAATTTTTAAAAACTGCAGTTTAATTAAATATATGCATCACATATAAGTCAAATTTTAATACATTACAGTGCCCTGGTCCTTTAAAGTACTGTCAGGTTAAGTGGTTTTATGCGAGCCTCTCAGTAAGGTTAAACTTCTCTGTGACCATAAAATTCTTATTTAAAAATATATATAACTACTTCCTTGGGTTAATTAGGTTTTTCAAATAGAGCAACATACCAAATAATGGAATAAGTTCTATCCTTCACTTTTTTGATGTTTATCAAAATTGCTCCATTGCTTTCATTGCCATTGTGATAAGTAAATATTACAAACTTTAACTTAAGATGAATTGAGTTAAAATTAAAATTTCTACTTGTTTCATATATTAAAATTCCATTGAACTTTGAGAACCATTTTCTAGAATGATTTTCTAATACACATTAAGCAAGTTGACATGTACTAGACACATTATTTAAAAATCACATTTGATATCATCTTCCATCTCATCATACTCTTTACATATTGGTGTAATCTTAAGCTTATAAATCATACAACTTATTGGAAAGCTTGAATGTTTATCTTTTGCAGTAAGTGCTGTCAGTTATTTCCCTTAAGTCACAAACTTACTGTGTTAATGGAAGCTATCCTCTTGTTTGTGAAATAAAAGATCAACTTTCTTTTAGTTACTATGGCTAACTTGGCAAATCAGTATTTTCCCCTGAATTATGAGTGTATGTATATATCTACCTATCACTACATAATGTATTCATTTAGTTAGCATGTTCATAAAATCCCAGTTGTCTAGGAACCACTGAGGCTCAAAAAGATGGCATTACATATCAAAGGTACAGGATATTTACCCTCCTTATATTCCTATACCCCTACCCTTTATCACCAAGAAATTTTTATGTTTAGTCAGAAAAAAAGATAAGTCCCACAGAATAGGGGAATTGTAAGCTTTCAAAATAAACTAAAAACATGAGGATGAATTTTTGTTCTTAAAAGTTAGATAACTCACTCTACTCCTATAAATATGATAATTTATAGAGATAGAAGAACATTAAGTATTTTTTTTAAAGATTTATTAATTCATATAGAACTGGGGTACAGGCCAGAGATGCGAAGGGTGAGAGGATTCACCAGGGACAGAGCAGGGAGCAGAACAGGCAGATCAACGAAGTACACTGCTGAGGAGAGCAGCGGGCAGGTCAGGAGAGGTCTGCCACACCATGTGGTCACCTCTGGGGCAGGCGGGAATTGAACTCATGCGGAAGTGGCTTAAGCTCAGTGCTGTGCTTTAATGCGCTGCGCCACAAGGAAGGGCTGAACATTAAGTATTTTTAATGTTTTCCCTTACATTGAAGTTCAGTTCCTTACATTTGTTCCTGGTAGATAGACACATTGCAGACTAAGAAAAGAATGAAAGCAAATTTAGAAATTTAGTTTCTAACTCAGCACTGTTGCCAAATGTGTTTTGGTTTCTTGTAAAGCTGTAGTACAGCAGCAGAAAAAAAAGCACAAAGTGTATTTTTCAGCCCCTCCACTAGATGAACCCAATTTTTTATTTTCCCTCGCTACCCTTCCACCAATCAGGAAAGTGTCTATACCTTGCTCCAGCTACTATACCATTGGGAGTAACAAAGGGAGGTGTGACTCAGCAGATATGTATTAGTAAAAAGCATTTTCTGTAACTAAAGCTATAGGATGTCCTGTACTCTGGACTCCTTAACATCTTCAGGCTCAGAGTTGCTGGTGTACCCTTAAAGGATTAATTTTCCTAAGTTTTTGCCCACCCCTTTATCTTTCCCCTATATCCCACGACTATCTTGATAACAAAGCAAGGAAAAATAATAATAAATAAGCATCAGACACACACAAATTACATTTTTTATTTTATTTTAGTGCTTTTAACCAGTCTCTTTCAAATCGTTTGTCATAAATATGTATACACACACACACACACACACACACACACATATATATGTATATATATTTTCCTTCTCTTCTGTGTTTGTCCATGGCATATTCATTGTTATCAGTAAGGGCACATTTTACATATTTGAATGGATGAGTGGAAGCACTTGCTTTAAAACTCTTTATACAGACCCTCCCCGATGGTGCAGCAATTCCATAATTATTATTTGACTTTACTGTAGCCTTCATGTCTGAACAGGTGAAACCTATCTCAAAATATAATAGATCAGTTCACTCCAGATGAAAATATTAGTCCATTTGGTAAGTGCAATCAATCTGATGAAGTAGATAAATTTCCATGCTTGTGGAACAGTGGTTAAATTAGGGCTATTGCAATTATTCTTCCTTCTGCCTAAAATAGCTCTCTCTCCCCACTCCCATCTGTTTGGCAAACTCCAGTCCTTATGTAGAAGACCTTACTCAGATGTAATTACTTTTTTTTTTTTAAGATTTATTTATTTATTCATACAGAACTGGGGTACAGGCCAGAGGCTCAGGGGTGGCGAGAGGCCCCACCTGAGACAGAGTGGGAAACAGAACAGGCAGATGGACGAAGTACACTGCTGAGGGGAGCAGCGGACGGGTCAGGAGAGGTCTGCCACGCCATGCATGTGGTCACCTCCAGGGCAGGCGGGGATCGAACTCATGTGGAAGCGGCTTTAGATTCTCAGTGCTGTGCTTTAACCCGCTGTGCCACCAGGGAGGGCCAGGTGTAATTACTTTTGTGGTATTTGTCTTGATGCTTCCAGATATTTGGTGACTTCTGCTACAGATTTTTATCTATCTCTGATAACTCATTTAAGATTGTTACTACACCTCTCACTAGACTGAGCTTCTCGGGTAGGATCTGTGTCTTCCTCTTTTCTTAGATTTTGATTGTTCTTTTTTTTGAATTACCTTATTCTCTCTTTCCAGCCTTGCAGTCTAGTCTAGTAAGGTGATGTGTCAGTCATAGATCACAATAATACAAGTGAGAGTGCAATCAGTGCTGCAAGGAGGAGGAAATCTCTTCTTGCTATGGAAATGAGAGACACCTAGGTTATCCAGGCTTTGTGGATGAGTTGTCATTAAAGGGGGCTTGCCAGGTATATTTGTAGTTTGTGCTGATCCTGGTTTTATAGTACGGAAGCAATCAGAAGAGTGGCTGGTTCCAAGAAGCTAGAATCTAGTGGATACAAACCTGTAGTTTACTATAAGGTTTTTGATAGCTGCATGACAAATTTGGCTTAATGTAGAAATAAAGTTCAGGAAAAGAATGTATTGGCAGTGCTTTCATTAAAAGAATAAAAATATATATGGGTAATACCGCAAAAATTATCATTTCAGTTATTCTACTTTTAGATAAGGATGGAGAAACTGTGTTGATGTTGCTTATTTTAGCAGAATTTATGAAGGAATATGTTGAAATTTTTTAGATTTGCTATGTGAGCATTTTGTAAAACACTGAAGACTGAGATACAAGACAGCATTTTTTATCACATACCATTTATTTTCCTCGTTCTAAAAAGTTGAGTAAAATCTGTTTGATTCAGTTCTCCTAAAAAATAAAAAGGGCTCAAAGGTTGAGTGTCAACATCACATTATAGTGTTTTTGTTTTTGGTGCAGTTATTTTTACTTCTTGATATCTTTATTAAAAATAGTTTAAATGTATAGGAGTTAAATTATTTGAGGCATGTTCCAGAGCTTTAAGCACTTTACCTAGACTTAGTTCATTAGAAAAGGAATACCTAGTCTAGGGTTATCAATGTGCTAACTATGTGGACTTACGCATAAATTTAGGAGTTAATATTTAGAATTAGATATATTTTGTCTGAGTGTTACCAACCAAAGGAAGACATGAAATTTGATGTTTTTATGTCCTTTTTAATTGATTTTCTTGATTTACTTTAGCCACAGACCCATTTGCTTCTGTTTTTGGAAATGAATCATTTGAAGATGGATTTGCTGACTTCAGCACATTGTCAAAGGTAATCCTACCATGATTTGTGGGGGAAAAAGTATACTGTTGCAGCAAGGAGCAGTACTTCCTTTCATTTATATAACCTCTCACAGACAGTGCGACTTGATTTCAATTAATTATAGTAGATGTTCATTTCAAATAGAAATAAGATATAATTAAAGTGACATTTCTATATGTAAAGACAGTGGTGACAATACAGGCAATTATAATTTTCTACTGTTGGGTTCTATTCAATTGGGTCTACTCTGTCTTTAAACATGTTTCTTCCAATTGAACAATACTTTTCCCTGTTGACTGACTGGGGGTATAGGTGAAAAATCTTCTTCACTAGTTACTTGATTCTATGTTCTGAGACTCTTAGGATCATTATTAAAGATAATTAAAATACATAGTGCAGCCACTGTATGTCCACTACCAGTTTTACAGTGTAAACTCTGCTGGTCAGGCCAAGAGAGAAAAAAATAGTGTATGTCTAGTTGTTTAAATCATTTGTTCTTACCTAGGCATTATACCTAGCTGTGACAATATCTAGAGAGACACTTTTGGTTGTGAAACTGTGGGGAGCAGGGTATTCTGAGCTAATGGATAGGGCTCTGGGATGCTTTTAAACATCCTACCATGAACTGTCCAGCCTCCCAAAACATAGCATTATTTCCAGCACATAAATATCAATAGTGGTACTATAAAGAAAAACTGGACTAAATAGATCTAAAATCATAGTCTGTTCATAACAGAAAAATAATCCTTTGTTATTCCATGTGTAAGAAAGGCAGGATCTTCAGACCCATATTAAGATTTACCATTCTGTGGGATTTGTTTGCTTTTTTTTTTTTAAAGTATATTTATTGCACCATCCTTCCTTTTTGTGCAATGTATTCCTACCACCAGTTCTTCCATGCACCGTCACCATAGTCCCTTGTGCTCTTCCCAGTTCTGTCTTGACCCTTTGTTTGCTTTAAACATTGACTTTCAAGTTGCCTTTAGTGCTTTTCAGGGTGCTGTTGGTTGGGGAGGGGGGATTACTTATAAGTTTTTCCTTTATGTGTACTGGGAAATGTAGAGTTGGTTTTTCAGGGGAACAGGGAGTGGTGGTTATTATTTGGATCAGATACGTGTTTGGGGAAGGACATACAGTTACTTCAAAAAAAAAATTTTTGTGTTGTCTAAAACTTGACAAACTTTTCATCCAATGTTGGCTTGTTTTCGTTGTTTAGCTATTATTCTTAATAAGTGGTAATATTTTTAATCATTACTTGTATAGAACTTTAAAAAATTTTCCTTCTTGACCCTGAAGTAAGGGTTAACATGTCAGCACTCTCAGAACTGAAATAAATAAAAGCTACATAATAGCTAAGATTATTCTTCCAAATTCTGCATGACCCTGTTTTGCTTGATTGGTGTAATATATAGATAATCATGTATAAACATTTCTTTTCAAAGGTCAACAATGAAGATCCTTTTAGTTCAGCCGCATCAAGCTCTGTCAGCAGTGTGGTCATTACAAAAAATGTGCTTGAGGAAACATCAGTCAAAAGTGAAGATGTACCCCCAGCACTGCCACCAAAGATTGGAACTCCAACAAGACCCTGCCCACCACCACCTGGTATGAGAGTTGGTTCATGCCTCTTCTAAATCAATCTCCTAAATGATTTCTTTTTGAAAAAATGTGAGCCTCACTTACTGACTTAGAAAGGGCCTTCAATGAAATGAGTCAGAAACCATGGCAGAAGCCTGCTACTGTGATCTGTTTGATTCAGTAGAAAATTATAGATTTACCTAAGATACTAACATGTATAATGATCATGAAGTGTTTGTTAATGGAAAAAAAGAATTGATGAAATTTCTTGCTTTTGGACACTCATTGGTTGCCATTTGAACAACAGTGTATTACTGCATTTCAGTGTTTTAATTAATTTCTATAAGAAAATTAATTTAGTGTTCCCTTCTTTTCCTGATAAATATGAAGTCTTCCTTAAACATTTCAACATGACAATTCATGACCTTCTAGTAATTAGAATTAAGCAATATAGAGATTTAAAGGAAAGTAGTGCTTGTCTTGAAGGAAAATAGGGTTTTACTTCACTTAACGAGAGTCTGTTTTATTTTGTGAAAGTGACTGTTTTCATCCAGTTTTTGGTTTGTTTTTAATGAAGGTAAAATCCATGAGAAATGACTAAAAATGTAATTCCCCAGGTAGTTGTAGTGCTGGACTGTTAAATGACAACACCACACATCTAGTATTTGCTTTGGTCATATACATTCTTTGTAAAATTTCAACCCCAATAGCCCCAAAATAATTATTCTTACCTTCTCATAATAACCTTTCCCTTCAATGGTATTTGGGCAGATGAATTTTTTCTCCTTTGATTTAAAGAATCGTATCTATAGTTGTTAGTATTCAATTGTTGAAAAATCAAGTTAACAAGGGAATTCTATCTTTACGGGGAAAGAAGCCAAAGTTGGTACATTCTTAAAGGATAAAGTTTTTATAATATATTTTAGAAAATAGTTGTTTTTTTTTAAGTTTTACACCTATATGATGCCAATAATGAGGTTTTTTGTTTTTTTTAAATCCTGACCAAAATAATATATTGGTGTTTTAATGAAATCTAAGCCTCTTCAGCAAACTTTAGTGTACCTCATAATTAAAAGGTCAAGGAAAAAAAGGTGTTTTGTTGCAGAGAGCACTGACCCCTGGGTTCTAGTTCTGGATATGCTTCGCCTAGCTTTGTGATTTTGAGTGTATAATTTTATAATTTTGGGCTCAGAGAGCCAGGTGTTAGGTGGTAATTCAGATTTTGCCTACTTCACAGGGTTGTTGGAATGATTGAGATGTGACATAAGAATATCTTGTAATCTACAAAAATGATAGAAAAATCTGTTTTTGAGATTGCTATTACCTGTTTAATACATTTTAGGAAAAATATATTTGAAGATATTTAACACCTGTTCTTATCTCTTCTTCAAGAAGTACTAAATTTAACCAAAACTTTAAAATTAGAGAACTTGTTTGAAAGTGGTGATGCATTAATTTTTCAACAGTATGCCATTGTTTGGTGAAAAAAATCAGTTTATCAGAAATCACAGTGATTTTTAGCCCTGGTCTTCAAAACACACTCTTTATTCTCAATTTTGAAATACCACAGATAGCAAAAAAGTGGGTGGGGTTGGCGAAGGTGAGAGCACTTTAATGTTCTCACATATGTAGGTACTGAAGAATTGTGGCATTTCTTAAAAGGTCATTTGCACTATTCCTGCTAGTGGATAATTATTAAGAATCAGTTTAAGGTTGTAACAGCAGAGATCATTTCTGTCATTATTCTGTCATTCTCCTCTTATATCTTTTACTTTCTTGATGGGAACATGCTTGTTAGGGAAAAAAGGTTTATTTGCTCTCTGAACAAAAATATGATTCTTGGCTTATCCCCTTCTTTGCTTTTTTTTTTTTTTTCTCATTTAGCTACATAAAGCTAAATGTATTTGAGAGGTGTGTGTGATTAATTTGAGGACAGACCATTGGTGTGGACATTTAAGCCCATATTAAGAATGTTTTAGGTACTCATCCCCAGGTCTTTAATACTCCCTGTATTCATTGTGTGTTTGTGTTTGCAATCTTATTTGCTGGTTGAGTTAATTGTAATGATTTTGATCCAGGGAAAAGACCCATCAACAAATTGGATTCTTCTGATCCCTTTAAACTGAATGATCCATTTCAGCCTTTCTCAGGCAATGATAGCCCCAAAGAAAAAGATCCTGATATGTTTTGCGATTCATTCACTTCTTCTACTACTACCACTACAAATAAAGAGGCTGACCCAAGCAATTTTGCTAACTTCAGTGCTGTAAGTACTGTGAATGAATGGGCTGTTCGGGGAAATCTTTCCATTTACAATTTGAAGAGCTTTCAAAGTTACTTTGGAGCCTGCCAATTTTGCATCATTTCAACTAAATTTACCAACATAGTAAAAATGATCTTCATTCTTCCCCCAACTCAAACCTTTGATTCTGTTTTGATGGTTCTTTAATGATTCCATTGCACAAATAATTTTAGTAGTCTTAGTTCTTGAGATATATACAAGCTGCTTTACAAATCCTTCTCTTGGTTTTCTAAACCATATTTTAAAAAATCCAGACAGCTTTTGTTTACAGGTGGTATGAATGAGTGTCATTTGCTGTCAGCTCACTGAATGAATACTGCCAGTGATGTGCTTGTGTACTTGTAATTGCATGTGTGTTGTGTATCAAGTTTCAGTGACTTCCGGGGCTAGTCAGTAACCACTATGTGAAAAGGCAAGAACAGGAATTCTTTGAATAAAAAGTAAAATGCTGGCTTTATATAGTAGTAATTTGACAAATGTAAATGTCAGTTTTATAAAGTAAATATGTTTTCAAGAACTAATAACCTTTAATTATTTGGAAGACTCTAATTACTAGGCTTCTCTGTTTATTTGGCACTCTCTCAGCAGTGACTACAGTAGGCAGACCAGTAAGGACAAAGGGAAGGTGCTGTGTAATGGCATAGGCTTGGTTTTAAAGACCTTAGAAATGGACAATCAGCTATATTGACATACATTCCATTATTATTCAGAGAAAAACAAGGTATTTTTCTTTTCTATAGAATTCTTAGAGTAGCTAACACAATTTCATTTCCCCAGATTTTTATTTTTTTCAGGCAAAATACCCTTCATTATCATTATCTGCTCTCTAAGAAAGGTATTTTCCTTGCCTTAAGCTCTTACAAACATTTTGGAAATAGAAAATCTGGAGTCAAGGTAACCCTGGCCACAGTCAGCCTAGTCTCTTCTTCATTGTAGCATTAGGGTCACTCAGTCATTCACTTTATCCCTACAGCCATTTCTAGGCAGAAAGGTAGGTAGGCTGGAATCTGCATGCCACTTATGGCAGATAGAGTTAGACTGAGTATAAGCTTTTGAAATTGTACTCAATTCCATGGCCTTTGGATGTGAAGGAAAGTAAGTGTCAGTATTTTGAGTATTGGAAAATAGTCTCAGAATTATGCTGACTTTTATTAGATGGAATTTGAGTTGTTTCAAGTGAAGAATTCTTTTTAGGAGATTATAATCCTCTTAATATAATAACCTTAATAAAATAACCTTTTGGCAGTTTGTGGCAATTAGTATCTTAAAAATGGTTTCTGCAAGTCAAAACCTGGTTGCAGTGAGGCCTGAACAATAGTTAAGGTATTTTGTTTATTTCAAACTCTAAAATCTCAACACTGTATAATATAAAGCAGCTCATAACAAAATATCTTCCTTTTTTCATTGGGAAGGATTTCCCAGTACTATAAGTTTCAAAGACCCTCTAACTCTGTGTGGAAAGATATTTTCAGAAACCTGACAGTTCCTTTTGTTTCATCCTTTTATAGTATTCTTCTATATGAGAAAAATTGAAACCAAGTAGAACTTTTTCATTTAGTATCTGCCAAGGTTTCTATGTGGGGTGATTAAAAATATTTCCCTAACTTAATAATTACCAGTGTTAAAGTTTTATTTAGAATGGGTGAAAAAGTTCTCAGAGCCTGCCAAAATATTTATAATATATTAAAAACATACTTTGTCCACATCTTATTTTGTATACCTAGTGTTCCTATGTATAGAAAACGGCATTTTTTTTGCTTCATATTTTTTCTGTGCCTTGAAGAGCTAGAATAAGGTCGGAAACTTGCAGTGGGATTAAGCTGAAAATTATTTATAAAGGAAAGATTCTCATTAAAGTTGAAGTAGTAAATGTTTTTGTATTAGTGAATATTTTGCAAAAGTCTTATTAATCCTTTTCTGTTTTTATATATAATACATCCTAAATGCTTTTTTTAAAGATTTATTTATTTATGCATACAGAACTGGGATACAGGCCAGAGATGCAGAGGGTGAGAGGCTTCACCAGAGACAGAGTGGGGAGCAGAACAGGCAGATCGAGGAAGTACACTGCTGAGGGGAGCAGCAGGCGGGTCAGGAGAGGTCTGCTGCACCATGTGGATCTCCTCCAGGGAAGGCGGGGATCGAACTCATGCCAAAGTAGCTTTTGATTCTTAGTGCAGTGCTTTAACCCATTGCGCCCCCAGGGAGGGCCCCCCTAAATGTTTTTTAAATGATGCTTTTAACGTGTATTTTTATAGATTTCCTTTGTATATACAGTATTACTTTTTAAAATTAAACCACAATTTAATATGCCTGGTAAAATTAAGAATTAAAAAAATAAAAAAGAAAACAAGTATCAAGAATATGCCTAGAGTCCTTCAGATAAAACAAATAATAGTGTCTTTTTATAAGCTGTTTTTCCCTTTAAAAAAAAATCATTTTATTCACTTATTCGTCTTTTATGTGACAGTATCCCTCTGAAGAAGATATGATAGAGTGGGCCAAGAGGGAAAGTGAGAAAGAGGAAGAGCAGCGACTTGCCCGATTGAGTCAGCAAGAGCAAGAAGACTTAGAACTGGCTATTGCACTCAGCAAATCTGAGATATCAGAAGCATGAAGAATTCTCCTGTCGTTGTCAACCCTACAATATTCTTCCTGAATACTGAAGCTATTTACAGTGTGTTTCAAAACTACCTATGAGCATGGGAATACAAAAGGTTTGAGATTCCTGTAAATGTGACAAAAGTTTGTGTTTTTTTGTTTATGTTTTTTTTTAAACTCCATTTCAGATTTGTCTTTCCCTGCCCCTGTAAAAGCAGTAACCCAGTCAGACAATTTCCTGTAGGCCCCTCTTCTGGTGTGCATTTACTGTGAGCTCTTGCCTGCCTGTGCTACTTTTACTTGTAAAGCTAGAACACTCAAGCTTCTGCCTCCTAGAATATCAAAAAATAGTTTCACCCCTGTGCTACTCTTGTTCTATAATTATTCTGGTGATAGCTAGTGGAGTTCTTAAAGTTTGCAGTATTCTCCCCTGATTTGAGTGATTGAGGATGGGGAAAGGAAAGAACATCCTATTTCTTTTATGATGGTACAAATTGACTAGTTTAAAGTGCATGTTGTTATTTCCTTACAGTAAAAATACTATTCAGTTTGCTGATAAAGAAAGAAGGAACAATATTTTGCACAAATATTTGTATTAACTCCACTATTGAAAAAGGAATGTCTTTAGGTTGAACCATTGTAGCTTCAGACACAATTTTTTCCTAAATAAAATTAAAGCCTCATGTGTGAAATACATTAAAGTTTTTCTCAGAATTTAAGGAATTTTAGGGAAATAGATACCTCTCCATAATTTTAAGTGCTAGACAGTGGAGAAAATTTACCACTTAAAACATTCCCTAGAGTATAACGTAAGCAAAAATCCTAATTTGGCCACCATTCTGCTTTTGCCATGGCAATATACTCTTTAGTTCTTTCTGTACTTATGCAGAAGAAACTTCAGCAAGCTAGAACTGGAAGGTACTTTAATTTTTTTGTATGTGTTTTTGTTTCCTTTAATGAATGCTCAACTACTTGAAATGTAAAACTCACTGAATACAAATGAAAAAGTGACATGTATTCAGTCACATCATTGCTTTTTGTCCATCTTCATGGTCAGAATAGTTTATTCTCTTCATGTTTTCCACCTATGCAATTGGTGGACTAGGGAAAAAAATTCTTGTGTTTTCAATTTGGAGCAAAGAGACTACCAAATAATCAGAGCTGTCGTGTGTTAAAAGCCCATCTCTTGTAAAATGGACCTCGCAGACATGCTGAATTTGAAATAGACTATGAAGGAGGCTGTAAATTGTAGAGTAATTTTAAATTTTTAATATCACTTACTGAGTTAAATAATATACTGAATATCAAGATAAAGAAAATTGCACCTAAAAACTAATTAATGTCTCCTCGGTCACCAAGTTGAGGTGGTTTTGATCTGTGTTAGAGTAATTTATTGCCTAACCTATGAATAAATTTCAAAATATCCAATTCATTTCTTCTTGAAATGGTGCTTTTTTTCCTCTCCACACACAATTGGACAGCTACAGTTTAAAACAAACTTAAGCCACTTTCTTGCACTGCTAACTTTTTTCTACTTTTATAAATTGAAACATTTTGGCATAAAAGTCATACTTACGAAGCAAGGGCTGACTCATAATCAAAAGACTTTACTTTTGATAAACTCGTCTAGCGATCTAAAGGTATACTATAAAAGTTGATAGAGAAGAAAGTGTTGGGAATTGTGATAGCTGGTGGTTTTGGATTGTTTCTTCCCCTTACATGTCAGGAAAAAAGGTAAGTTGACTTGAACAACCTTTTTTTGCACTGGGAAAATGAACAGATGTTGGAAAGCTTTCAAAAATTTTTTTAATTAAAAAAACACTCTGGAAAATATTAAATATCTGTAACTTATAGACACCAACTTTCAATGTAATAAGTGTACCCTAACTTTATGTATGTTTAACTGGATTACATAGATTACTATCTTTTGTTAAAATATGTATACTCAGTGGACCAATATAAAATTAAAGTATGTATATATTATATAAATATACATATATATATATATACACACACACATATATATATATATCCATGCTCACTTGTGTAGGATGAATGGTTTAGAGTTTTGTGATTTTATTTTACTTTGTTGACTCTGACTCCAAAGCCTGTGCTTTAAAAGAACACATGAGTAGTATTCCTGAGAGCTAAGTAGCATTACTTACAAGGTTTTAACCATCTTCTACAAATTTATGCAGGTTTATTTGAGCTGTCTTCATAGAAATTTTTCTTGTTTCAAGATTCTAAACTGTAGCCTGTAATTTTGAGAACAATAAACTTGAAGCATAATAAAGCATTCCAGCATACCTCCTATGTTCCTATGTGAAATGGAGTTTTGCATGGCTCTCTACTTTGTCCATGCTGTGTTTAAGGATAGAGGGCAGGTATACTGTCAGCACAGGTTAAAATTCTGGAGTAGAATAATAAATGCCCAAATAAATACTTTTTTTAGTTTATCATGTCCTGTTTTTGTGAAAGATAGAACTGCACATGCATAGTGCCTGAAACATAGGTGGCTTTGTATTTATTGAATGAGGGTTTGTGATATGGATGCTGGGAGGGCACTGTGGTATAAAACTATAATTTTATGTAGGGATTCAATCCTATAATTCTGGGATTGAATCCCTGGACTGCCATTCTGGAGAATGATAACTTTGAGGATGTTTTTAAGCTCCCCAAGTCTTATTTTTCTCATCTAATGACATAATGCTTAACTCATAGGATTATTTAAAGGATTTGACTTTGGCAGCTTTTTAATAGTATTTATTTTAATTAAACAAAGTCAAACATGTTATTATTAATAGTGAAAATATCCTCAGTTTACCTTGTTTTGTCTCTTGTTTGTGAAACAAATTTGCTTATACCAGATCATCTAGTAGGTAGATGAGCTAGGAATTGAAAGCTGTTCTGATTCTAAAACAGATACTTCTCAGTTTACCTTGTTTTGTCTCTTGTGTGTGAAACAAATTTGCTTATAAAAAATACGAGGAATGGGACATGTTAAATGATAACAGTATGTTTTAAGCTACAGTATGTTTTAAGGCAGGATCCTTAATCCTTTCCATGTATTAGTTCATTTAATCTTCACAACAAAAGTAACCCTATATTATGTGGGTACTATTATTATTTATATTTTATAGAACAGGTAACTTACCTAAGTTGGCCACAGTGCAGCTAAGTGACAGAGATGGAATTTGAACCCTATGCTGGCTCCAGAGTTTTAACCCTTGTTCTTTCTGTAACAGTGAGAAACCAGAGAAGATATATCACAAATAGAATAATCCATGTAATCTTTACTCTTGAAGATTAATGAAAAATAGATCCATATGTAGCACATATGTAGCATTTAAAAGGCTTTTCCAATTCATTCTCCTATTTAATGTTTACTAGGATTTAGAATGGCTTCTCACCCATGAAAACTCAGCCATTGTACTCTGTTAATAGTATTTACCATAAGTGATAAATATGGCCAACCTTGCTTTTATTAAAGAAACACAAGTTTTAAGATCACAAAAAAGGAAAAATGATTCATCGGTGCTTGCTAGACTCCAGGAAGAAAAAAAAATACAGTAAGAAGTAGGCAAAAAGTTTTGAAGATTTCATCATACCTGCTGAAGGGACAGGGCATTCAAAAGGTAGATGAATGGTTATATATAAGGACAGAGGGGTAGGCTGTGGTACAGTCACCTAGCAAGCGACAAGATTTGAAGTATTTCAGTGTGACTCAAGTTTAGGTAGGTTAGCAAAGAGAGGACTATTTGTATGTAGGAAAGATTTCATTGATACTGATTTGGAAGGGTTGCTGTTGGAGGAAATCTGTGAAGGCAGAAAGAGCAGACAAACAGTTCCATTCATTCATGTGATTGTAGCTAAGACTTGAGTACAGGGACTGATTTGGAAAATAGACCTTTAATTGTGATTAGATTGATGTCAGTGGTGAAGTGAAAGGGTGCCTCGCAAACTTTAGCAAACATAGAAACTCCTGGAGACTTGTTAAAATACAGAACATATATCCAGAGTTTCTAATTTCAATAGGTCTAAAGAGGGACCCCAACACTTTTAACTTCTAGTAAGTTCCCAAGTGATGGTAAAGTTATTGGCCCAGGGGCCTCACGTCAGAGAACTGCTAGAATAGAGACTAACTTCCAACTTTTTTTTATTTTGTAGTAGGTTTTATTCAACTTTCATTCGTTCTGCAATACTGTTGCACCTTGTCATTCTTAATTGACCTATGGATTGGATTCTGCTTCACAGTATAAAGCACCCCCAATCTTTCTTGTGGATAAACAATTTTTAAAAATAATAATAGTAATTGCAAGCTAACAGACAGCATTTACTTTGTATAAGTATCATTTGAATTGCATATATGTGTATATATTTTAGTCTCTGTAAAAATCCTTTAATGTTACTTATTGTTTTTCCCGGTTTACATATGAGAAAGTTGAGGTATTTAAAGTTTAAGTACTTGCCAGAGAACACACAGAGCTAAAAAGTGCCCAAACTAGGATTCAGAGGAAACAGTTTGGTTCCAGAATCCATGTTTAATCACTCTACTCAATCATTAAAATACTCTCAATGTATGAACTGTAGTGCCCTTTCTACTGCCTGAAAACCCTATAATAATATCTGAGTTTTGGAAATGCTTAGTGAGAAAATCACTGTCATTCTGTTATGCCTTTGCGAAGGCATATTGTGTTCAGAGTACTGTGTTGATCTAGGGACAAAGACTTACCATCAGTGGTATATTCTAGGAGATTGAAATCTGCTTTTAATTTCACAACATTGCATACTGAGGATTGTGATAGGAATGTTGGGGCACTCAAAGGAAAGAGAATAATTCTAGATGGAAGATTGGAGAGGGCTTCTCAGAGGAGGTATCCCCAGGCAACAGTATTCTGCTTCTAGCATCAATAAAAACATAGATTGAGACTGCCAGGTTAAAAGATAAGCACACCTCTCATAAGACCACATCCTTTGATGTCAGGGTTTCATTGATCGGGAAAGGCCAGGAGGCCTCACTTAAATGCGATTCATTACTTTAGTGATTTCAACTTGGCTCAAGGTCTGACCCTCAAGTTTAGAAACCTGATTTTCAACAGTAAAACACCTCCCATTAAGCAAGCTCACAGGACTGAGGTAGAGACCAAAATGTCAGTTACCAGTCGCCACAGGGTTTGGAGTACCTGCAGTTGGTTGAACAAGACTCCTGTTGCCTGTAAGGCACCACACTCTCTGCAGCCAGGGCTTCCTGGCCCTCATGAACACACTTTCTAGATTAAAGTGTTTAATCAAGTTATATCCTGGTTTGGCTGGTTGGGTAGCTATATCTGCACATCTCTCTGCATATCTTTGCTTTCAGCCATGGTATGTGAACTCTACAGTTTAATTCCTCCTAAGCTTGACTGTCCCCAGTTTGAGTTCTTGATGAAGCATCTCAGCCTGTGGGCTCTGATTCCACTCATTCTTTGATCATATTATTTATTGAATGTATATGTTCTGGGTCTTCTCCCTGACCCATCCTCTTTCATATCATTAATATGGCATTGTATTTCTGCCTCTTTAAATATCTCTCAAATCTGTCCATCCCTCTTGCCACTGCCCCAGTTCAGATATTTATTTTTCCTTCTGCATTCCCCTTTTTAGGTCAGGGCCTCCTTATCATGAATCACCGTTTTTCTCTCTGCTTCTAAACCATCCTCCAAGCTGCTGTTAGATTCTTCTAGAATAAAAATCTACGCTATCATTACTACATAAAATACACCACTGATTTCCATCACACTCAGGCTAAACCCTTAGCCCTTAACAGCTTTTCATTCATAACTTAATTTCTGATTGATAGTTTATAATGGCCCGGCACATGTAAGAATTTTTTCCGTTTAAACAAATCTACCTGAAGGAAATAAAGGAAAGGTACCTGTAGAGTCCTGAAATGTGCATAATTTGGCTTTGTTTTTGAAGCAACCGGTTGTGATACATCGGTTGGGAAATGAGATTAAGAATAGAGCAGCCTGGCCCTCCCTGGTGGCGCAGCGGGTTAAAGCACAGCACTGAGAATCTGAAGCCACTTCCGCATGAGTTCGATTCCCGCCTGCCGCCTGCCCCGGAGGAGACCACATGGCGAGCCAGACCTCTCCTGACCCGCCCGCTGCTCCCCTCAGCAGTGTACTTCGTCAATCTGCCTGTTCTGCTCCCCACTCTGTCTCTGGTGAAGCCTCTCACCGTCCCTGAGCCTCTGGCCTGTACCCCAGTTCTGTATGAATAAATAAATAAATCTTTAAAAAAAAAAAAAAAAAAAAAAATAGAGCAGCCTGGAAACATGAACAAGTAGTACTGTGGCTCCCACAGTATCAGTTATCAGTGTCGATAGTTACCACTTTATAGCCAACCTTACTATAGTATTACCCAGTTCCCTCTCATGTTATTTTGAAACAAATCTTAAGATTCATTTGTAAATATTTTCCGTTTGTTAATCTGCAGCATTTTAAAAATCATGAAATACATTTGATACTCTATGTAAGCTGGGTCACAAAATAAAGTATTTGAAAGTCATTGATCTAAAAAAGTAATCTCTTTTCATGTAAGAAATGTACATTCTAATATTACACATCCAAGGAGATAATAGCAACGATTATCTAACAGAGGAAAAACTTTCTTTGCAGAAAGACCCCACCCATTTTCCCCACATCAATAAGTTTAGGATGTATTCAGCTGCCTAAGATCCAAGATGTTTAGCATCAGCCTTTCTTCTCTGGGATCAGAACTTGGGTGGACTGAGTGATTTTGTGGAAGGAAAAGTAACTGATACTTACTGAGGACCTTTTCTCGACCTGGCACTAAAGCTTTTAATATATATTAACCTATTTAACCATTACACCATTATAACAGAATATATGAGTTGTAGAGAGTTGGAAGTGACTTGATCCCCATCTAGTAGACACTAAGCTAGGTTCTAGCTCAGGTGCCTCAGTTTTGAGACTGGCTCTTCCTCTGTACCAGACTCTCCATTGCACACCTGATCTTAGAGACAGTCTTCTGTGCCCAAGCTACAACAGAGATTAAAATACTGCATCCCTGGACCCTAAGAAAGAAGCCCCCATCTTCACCATGCCAGAGTTCTGTAGGACGTAAAGAAAGACTTGCTTTAGCTTTATCCAGAAACTGAGGCGGATTCCCAGTGCTCCTGTGGTCCTTTTAATGATTGCTGGACAAGACCAAGCCAAGCCTGGATTGTTTCCATTCAGAATGTGGGCCTCTGTGTGATCATATTCAAATCCTGAGTTCAAGACTCCTCCAGGC